TATCTAAGTGTTGCCAGTTCATAGTGTGATGATATAATCAAACTTTGGTAGACCTGATTATTATTTTTCCATAATCCACAGGAGAAATTTTCTGAATAAAGCGTATATTCTAAACTAGATGAAATCTGATTTTTCTTCAGAATAAACTCTACATGAATTCTTCAAGAGATTCAAAATTTTAGATAGAGCTTACTATGGAATATATATCTAAAGAAATGGAACAACGAGAAGCTTCAAAAAAGATCTCTTATGAGTTTCGAAAGAAGAGAAAAATGCATTTATTTACTTTCAATTTTTTGACCCAAAAATAATTCTAAATTTGACTGATGAGGTGCCTCCTAAGCCATGAAAAGCAAAATTCCAAAACATAATCATTCTTGAAGAGAAAATGAAAGATGTGAATAAAAACAGAACTACAATAATCAGTATTTGAAAAAAAAAACATTCAAATGTAATCTATTTTGAGCTTAAAAAAATTCATTTAATTTAAAATCATGTTTTGCTACTATTCTTTCTTTGAATCTTGGAGTCATATAATCTTATTATGGTCAACAATTTTCAATCTTATTTTCATTACTATAGATAAAACAAATGGGCGAATCGGAGCAAGAATACATGACTTGAATATGATAACAAGAATGTAAATATGAATCGTAAACCAAGCGTGATTTTATTTTATTTTAAAATTCAGTGGATTAAATGGTAACATATCAATAGATATCTAATTCTTTCTGAATATTGAATGCTTTTCATATCCTCATTAATTTTGTCCATTCTTAAGTTTGTTCTAGATAAGTTTTCCTCTGTGAAAAAATCCATATTTTAAAACACATCAAATCAACATAAATATAAAGTTCAACGATTATGAAAGAACCATTTTGAAAAAAATGCTACGTCATTTTATTTATTATTCAAACATCCAATGAAAATCTTACAAAATACACTAATCATAATTTTATGAATTTCTTTTAAAATCATGTGATTAAAAAATACAAAAATATGAATACAAAAATAAATTTAAAACTATGTATTTTTAAACAATAAAGAATTAAAATCATTAATCTTACAAAATAACATCTTTCTGTTTTAAATTTGACCCAAAAAATTACAAATCAACACTTTCAGCACAAATGAAATAGTACTTTAAAGAAAGTAGATACTGATTATATTTTAATGAATACAACTATTGAAAATAAATAAGCTTAAAATATATTTTTTAATGATAAAAGAGAAGGTTTTTATTTTATTTTATTAAATGCACAAAATCTTTTTAATCAAAATTCAGTATGTAAATGAACACATGTAACTTGAGATAATAATTTTATCCAAACAAACACTTAAGTGGTTACAAATATTTGACCACGATAAGCATGAAATACAAATTGATGATCATGATTTCTTCTAATACACAAATTTTTAATGAATATCAAATATTTCCACATAATAAAAAATCATTTTTTGAAATATTATTAATAAATTTAAATAAAAAACTATTGATTCTTATATTTCAATGAGAGATATATATATACAAATCTGAAATATGTATGCTTAGATTGCTTGACCGACAAGATAAAACTACTGTACTTTTATTGATGTTTTTGTCAGATTTCATGTCATAAGTAACAGTCATATGAACAAGTTTCAAAACTAAAGAAAGTAGAAATAAAAAAAGTTAAAAATTAGAATATTGGTCCATCAATTAAAAAAGTTAATCTAATTTCTTTTCTTCATTTTATATAGATGTTTCATGTTGCATGATATTGATAATATTGAAAAATTTTGAGTCAATAATAAATTATTGATATCCACTATCAACATAAATATCTACAACCAGTTATAAGAATCTAATCAGTAAAATTTTTTTTTAGATTTCATGTTAGTATTTTTACAATTTTTGGTAAAAAAGTTGATAATATTTTTTATGTCAATAGTAAACGGAAAATTCTGAAAAAATCTATTCTCTTCTAAATTAAGTAAAAAAACAAAACATAATAAATCTGTATTTTAGTACTATGTATATTATGAGATTTTGGTTATTATTTTTCCAAATCCACCTGCATCATACTTGCATGACCTCAGAGTAGAGTAAGATATTTGTTGTAAATATCTCTTATTTATAAAAAATAAAAAAAAGTGATTTCTCTGCATATCTATCATTATATCAAAAATGGAATTTTCTTCGAAATTCAGATATTTGCCATCTTTTATAAGAAAAAAAAAGTCTAAGAGTTTTTTAAATTTAAATTTAACTTATAAATAATAAGAGACATGAAAATATTCAAAAATAATGTAATACAATTTTCAAGTTTTAAAATTTTTGTTTATGTAATATGATCAAGCAATAAATTTGAATCATCTTCTGTAAAGAATTTCTTTAAAAAATATGCAAATTAAGTGACGAATTATCATATCAAGCAACGATTATTCAAAGAAATAATTGATTTTTCCCCATAATTACGTGAACATATTTAAACCTTGTGAAATCTATAAAAGATGAAAAAATTTATAATCTATACATTTACTAAAAAAATTCATACATTGTGTGAACAATTTATTATTTAAAAAAACGTACTTTGCTCAAGCTTAGCATGAGATTGGATTTTTTTTCAATGTGAAATGATCGATGAATTCTCAAGATTTTTCAAAAATTTTCATCAGGATATTTATCCACTGATTCAAGATTAATTATAATTTGAAAATAATTTTGGAAATACTAAAAATTAATAGAATTTGAATAAATTTTCTTTAATTATTATTATTATAATATTTAGAGAAAATATAATTTTAGAAATTATATTTGGTCTAAATAGAATTAATTTTAGAAAAAGAATTCAAAAATTGTCTGTAGTAAAAAACTAAAACATATTAATATGTTAGTTGATATTGTTACTGGTTAAAATCCCATTCACAAAAAGATTTAGAAAGAAATTCATTAGTTATTGCCATATGGGTCAAGTCAAATCAAGAAAGTCGTTAAAAGCAAGACATATAAAGTAGTCCATGCTATGTTATAATTTATTTTTTAAAGAACCTATGTTTAAAAATTCCTTCATATTTTTGCTTTTTGAAGTATGAATAATCATATAATGAAGCTAATCATGATTTGTTTCATCTATAATAATCAACATAATCGTGATATGTGTCAAATTTATTATTTATGAGACTTTCACTTATTACTACTTCATTTTATGTTTTGAAATTAATAAATATCATATTTTCATATTAGAAAAAATAATTATTTATGATTATGATGATTAATATAAACACTATAGTAATTTTCTGTGATCAAAATTGTTCTATTCGATCACTATATTATCATATTGTTAAAATTTCATAAAATGTTTTTGGAAATAAGATTACCTATAATATGAAATTTTAAGACTTCGTAAAACAAGCTGGATTTGATATTTTTCTAAATAGGCATATGTGAAAGTCAATTTTCATACTTTTCAGTTTTGTTAAAAAACAGTTAAAGACTAGATTTATCAATATTTTTTTCATGTTATTCATAATCTCTTCAGTTTTGGATTTGTATAAGTGCAAATATTTTAATACATTTATTGAAATTTCATGTTGAATTTTGCTAAAAATTTTATTTGGATAAATTATATTGTTGTTGTGAATATGTATACAAAACTAGAATAATAAGTTTTGTTGTGACATCATAACTTGAGAATCTATATTTAATATATTTTTTTGAAATTTAGAAAGCTTTTATTATGGTTATGACATATACAAGTTTTCAATGAATAGAATTTTTATGAATTGCAGTGAAATATTCTATATTAACCTTATCTATGTAGTGTGATTACATGAAGATAGGCTAATAAAATGATAAAATAAATGATAAAATAAATATAGAAATATCTATTGTATCTTTAGTTTGTAAAATTTAAGTTATGTATTATTTATAGTTTAGAATTTTTATTGATGAAAAGAATATTAAAGTCATGTAGAGGAAGATATAAAATATATAAACTTTTTTTTGGGTTTTTTTGAAATAAAATAATAAGAATTTCGATGCTATCATATTTTTTAGGTATGCCCGATTTAGGATAGCTACATCTCTTTCCAGTCGTTATTATTATTTGAAAAAGTTGCAATCTTTATTTTCTAATAAAACAAAAACCAATACAATAATTCAGCCAGTCAAAATAGCTTCTGATTATCAAATTAATTGCTGCCCGTAGGGCAGCGCCTGTATACAAAACGGAATTGGAGTGGATTTTTCAATCTATACAAAAACTGCCTATATAACCCATTTATAAAGCGCAATAAAAAAATATAAACTGAAGCTTATGATCCCATGAAATCCACTTGTTTCCTTATGAGTAAACTTAGATATAGGAGCAAATTACGATATATTTATATTATCATATTATATATATTACGATATATATTATACCCTGAGGATGATGACCAGAGGTACCATCAGGCCACCCACATGCCTGATGACAAACCCAACAGTCTGACGTGGCTCAAATAACGTTGACTGCTGGCAGTCCTAATCCATATCATCTCCCAAGAGCCAAAAATCGAAAGCATTCGTAAGTCAATTGACAACGAAACAAAACATGAAGTTGGAATCGCTAGAAATCGCGAATTAGCATGCCGCGGAGTATTCGGGCCCTATTTCCTGTTAACTATCATCAGACCCTAAAGTACAACCCCATGCTTTGCGAAAATCTAATCCTGGCCTGCCAACCTGCTTTCGTGTCCCCGTCAATCCTGCGACCCGCCAACGTATCTCCATCCATCGAAGAATTCTAAACCTCTTTAAACTACTCCTCGACGTCTCTGCCATTTACTGCCTAGATGGATGATTCAAATATGTGTCACTAGTCACAATCAATCCATTTACACAATTCATTGCACTTGTACCCTGAAATTTTACAATCTGATCAAAACTAAAGCAGATAGTTCAGAAGAGCCGGAACTGTGATTATTCCCCATACTTCATCGAAGTATATAACATAAACTTACTTTGAACAAGTATTCACAAGTATCATTCCCACATATATATTAAATACAAATCAATCACTATACGTACAAGTTAAATGTTGATGTATCTGCAAACTTATCATGCTTAATCAAATCCCGAATTTTACAAAATTTGTCTCCGTTGTTAGTTTGTTTCCGCTTTGCACCAGAGGCGCGCTCAAACTAGTTCTCTACAGATGTAACAAACAAGAGTATGTTTAGACGTCCACTTTCATCAATCATAGCTGAAATCTAGTCGAGGCCAACCGGTGCCAGAGACAGCACTTTGAAGGTGAGCTCTTAATTTGCTTCTTGCATGGATTCTTGCGGGTGGACTGCCGGATCAGAGTTCTATAAGTCTGTTTCAGTGTTCCAACATTCTGGGTGAGTATGAATTCATGGTCGTTCCTTGCACACTCTGCGTTCTGTACTTCATTCCTCGTTAAGCGATTCGAAAGACAATCCTCTTAGATCCTCGAGCACATGTGCCGATTATCTGTCATGTGTAACTCGATTAGACAGAGTGGTCGCATGTTTAGTGTGCTTGGATTTTCCAGAGTAGGCCCCACCCCCGCACCCACCCTACCTAGTCTAGCCTTGGGTGTTTGCCTTTCCTTGCATACTTTTGTGATCCGTCTCGAGTGGGACGAGCAGCTTTCAAAATGAGTTCAGATTCGTTCACCAGAACCATCGTTCGGATACTCATGGAAACAATCGGTGATGTGTTGAGTTTGGCAGTTTAACCATGCGGGGAAATTTCACTTCATTCGTTCCACCACAATGAGTAGGTCTGTTTCTCTCCTTCCTCGTATCCGCGAGTTGACCTTCAGATCTGACTGTCCCGTTCTCCGTCGCAGTTCCAGTCACAAGAAATTCGCGGACATGCTGTGACATGCGAACTGACATGGCTCGATGATTGACGTGAATTCAGACCGTCGAAGCACATGCGATGAAAGCTCATGACCGGCTTTTTCGAAGGGCTCAGCTGATACTCCCACGCAGACGACACATCAAGTTTTGTTCTGTTTTGGACTCTCATAAATCCGGGGAAGTTGCTGCGCGTTGATCCGAGCATTAAAAATTCTGCTGTGACCTCTCGCTCCTCGTGTTCTCGTGGCACCGGCATCATCTCTGGCTTCATTCTTGGACAGAATTGAAACGAGATAATCGGATTTCCAATCATGCCCGGAGCAAAATTTCAAATTCGAATGAAATCATTCGCCTCATGCGATAACAGAAATATGCCCCTCGCAACAAAAGCATGGCGCCCCGCCCCGTCCCGCCCCAATCCGCCCCGGGAGATTGGGCGCAGTAGAGAGTGGCAGATAAAACAATGAAGGCCCCGTTCAGATGCAGATCAATTTCAGCATCATCACGGTACGGGCACAGTAGGTGAGCACCAAGTACAGAAGAGCAGAATAGATGATGATGATGATGAGGATAAACAACAATTACGCGGTCAGGGCTCAGACCTCGCGGCAGGAGGCATGCAGCACTGCAGCCAGCTCGGGACGTGGTTTCGACCGGCGGAATTGTTTTCGAGCCGGTCAATCGAAGCACCGGCTGACACTGGCTGGGCCCGGAGCCCGGGGAGCGCGAGCTTTTCTCCTTTCGAAAAAGGAAAAGGGTCCGTCGGGGCGGGATCTCGCGATCTTGCCTCGCGCTCGAGCTCGAGCCTCGCGACGAGTCTCGAGGCTCGAGGCTCGAGCAGAGGACGGTCGATGTGGCTCACTTTTTCTTGGGCTTGGGTGGAGACTTGTCGGAAGGCCTTCCTTTCGGAGGCGATTTGTCGGGCTTGGGAGGCGGGTCCTCCGAGCCTTGCAGGTAGAACACCCAGCGGTAGGGAATCGCCGCGCTCATAATGGTCAGACGGCCTCGATCGGAGCTGACGATGCCGGAAGTGCTGCTGCTGCTGCTGCTGCTGCTGCTGCTACCGCCTTTCCCCGGAGACGCCTCTCTCGTCGTCGTCGTCGTTGTCGTTGTCGGGGTCGTCGTCTTCGCCTCGGTCGCTGGTTTCGCATCGGTGGATTTCGTCTTGGCGTCCGTCATCTTTGGCGCTTGCGGCTTCTTGTAAGTGATGGCGACCTTGGTTTGCTTTTTGGCCGCGATCTTTTCACCCTTGCTGCACGTGAAGGCCGGATTGTCCACCACGTAGTCGAATTGAATTGTGCTGTCGAACACATTGCGGAAATTCACCGTTCCCTTCTGGTACACCATAACCGGGCCTTGTGGAACTGGTGTCAGACAGGTGCCAAGCAGTCGGCAGGAGTACTTTCCGCCTTTCGGGTCCGATACTGAGAGCACTCCGTAGTTCTTTTCTCCCACTTTTGATGGCTCGAAGATGATTGGTACCTGAAACAAGCCCCAATTGCCATGTTTGCATTCGTCCCCGATGATTTTGCCGTGTCGTCGGAGGTTTGTTAAGTTACTATCATTCAACAGGCGTTTAAAGTTTCTAATGTGTCAACCTCGGCGTTCGAGATGTTTTCCTGCGTCTAATTGTCAACAACAGAGACTCTAGAGGCACGAAAAAATGAGCGAGGGTCAGAAAAGAGCTACTTGTCACGCGTTTAAGGCATTTCGGATTTCGTGCATAGCATGTGGAGATAAGGCTTGTGCATTAGCTTAAATTGTTCTGTTTTGTCATATCGAAGCTGCTTCACCAAATTCAAGTTTTTTTACAAGCCTTAGGAAGACCTGGGATTTCCCTTTCTCTTGTGCGTACATAAATGAGGCCATACCTGCACTTCCAAGCCGTCCAAGTCAGCGTTGTTGGCGCTCACAGTTGCTGGTACTATGAAACCATTTTCCTTTCCTTCCGCAGACATTTCGCACTTATAATTCACTTTGGTTGGCAGATAGTGAATGAAGCGGAACAGTTGCGTCTGCCTGATGCCCAAGGGTGCACTGAAGGAGAGCGTGTCGTCGAATCCTGGCGAATAGCTTAGCAAATTCAGCTGGTACACCACTTCTCCCAGCAGGTCGTTTTTCAGGGTTATGTAGCTGACCACATTGGATTCCAATAACGGCCGGTAAGCAATGTCCATCGCTGTTGAAGCTCCGGGATCGACTTCTATTGTTGCAGGAATCCGCACCTCGGAGTTCTCACACTTGGCCGTGAATATAACTAGAGATTGCAGAGGATTCCGAATGTGCAGAGTATGGATGATCCGTTGCCGCACCACTGCCTCAAAATTAATGACCTTGGCCACATCCGCTTTGTTGGCCACGACCATGAGGTTGTAGAAGATGTATTCTTTTGTTGCCTCATTTCGAAATGTCACCTTCGATCCATATGTTCCTGGCTTATGTGCATGAAACTGTAGCAGACATTCCCTTGTAGCGTTTCCCGGAACTTCTATCGCTTTAGGGCCCGTTAAACTGGTTGTCACGTCCTGAATGTGCTGCTCTATTACTAGTACAAAATGTTGGGCGAGTTTCAACCAGTTCTGGACTTTCAGTGGAATATTAGCCTTCTTTCTCGCCTGTACGTCGTATTGTATGTCTCCAGCTGGAAGGGGAGCTCCTGCGTCTCCTTCGAGTTTGTAGTATAATGCCGAGCCATCTGGCAGGGGAAATGTGATAGAGCCCTTATGAGATGCCCCTTGACTCATCGTCATGGGGTGGAAGGTGATAATGTATCCCACAGTTTGCCTAGCTGGTACTTCGATTGTGCAAGGTCCACTCCAATATCTGTTCTCGATCTTAGGACACAATAGCCAAGGCTTATCAGTGATGTTTTTCAGCTGAACGGTTTTGCTGTCAATGCTTCTCACTGGAGCAACAAAGCTGAATGTTTCCACCGGAGGATCATGTTCCATGCACCCTCCTTGTATTGTCAGGAACTGAGTTTCTCCACCAGTAATCACACAGTGAATTCTTTCAATACGTATGTCTGGGTGCACGGCAGTCGGGTGAAAACTCACCTCCAAAACTGCTACCTGATGAGGAGCCAAATAACCCTCGGGAGGGAAGAAGGTGCATTCAGTTGCATGCGTGCAAACATCCCAAGCGAATGCCGTGCCTATGTCTCCACAGTTTTCCACCTGTATCTTCCTCGTATACTTAGAGCCTAAGGTGACCGTGCCGAAGGCTAAGAGGTTGGTACTGAGCTTTACTTCTGTACCGACACAAGCTCCTGACACAGTCGCGAGAACAACCTCTGTATTTGCAGCTGTAATGACCAGTGGTTCATCGAATGGAGCTATCCTTGCCTTCGGTCGGAACTGAAGGTCCAAGGTACCTGTCTGCTTCCCTTTCAACGTGATTCCCTCAGCTGGCAAACAAACCATGTCTAACTCCAGAAACCTCGCTCTGACAGGTGTCCAAGCGAGATGACAAACGGCCCTGGTCATGTTGACAATCTCGACAGGAATCCTGGCACTTTGCCCTATTTTAAGGCTATCAAAGACCAGTAGTTTTTGCGTTTTGTCTACGAGCTCAACATGCAAACGCACTCCTTCTCCACTGATGACAACGGTTACTGTGTCCAAGCCGTTGATCTGGAACTTCACTAGCTCTTTGTAGTGTCGAACCTCTTGAGGTTTGAAGGTTATGATCACAGACTCTTTCTCGCCCTCGTCCAACAAGAGTGTGGCGTGCGGGACGTCCAAGTGAGGTGTGCTCTCGTACATGTTTTCGCACGTGATTGCTGATGTACCAACGTTGCTGACGACCAACTCCACGGATGGAGGATCCCTTTCTTCCGCATCAAGGAATGTTGGGCCGAAGTCATAATCCAGGAAACTAAAAGAAGCTCTGGGCCGATAGCAAGTGCCAGAAATATTTAGCACATATTGGTTACTGTGGCGAACCTGACAGACAACCGTGACATCTGTGACAGGTCCTGGGCTCTTTGGACAGAATGAGAAGTCGCAAAATACTTGCTCCTCACTTGTAACCGTGCCACCCGGTGGTTCCACTACGACGTCTTTGTTGCCCCCAAGCATCCAGACGAAATGGAAAGGAAAGATACCCGTATTTGTAAGAACAAATTTCTTGAACACCATATTGTTGATCAAAATATCTCCCAAGTGTAAGTGATTCACCTCCTTAGGGGAGAGCTGGAGGGGTATTCCTTCATTCAGAACCTCGAGGAAGACTTTGTCGTGAATAGTGTAACCCTCAGCTTTGACATTGACTGTAAGTTGCAGGGCCTTCTTCAGGTTGCAGACCACGTTGAAGTTTTGAAGACCTTCACCTATCGGGGCAAAGGTAATGTCGATGGGTGCTTCTGAGTTCGGGCCAACAGTACCATGGGAAGGTATGAATAGCAAGACAGGTTTCAGAGGATGCTGTTCATATTGAGTGCGGAGGTAAGTGGTCTTGTCGAATGAGAAGGGAAAAGCGGTCTCCTCATCGTTGATCAGTCTGATACATGATTTTGATTTGGTTCCAACCTGAACCTTACCAAAGTTGACCACAGCATGATCAAAATGCAGCTTGGGCTTGTACACGTAGCCAACAAGTAAGAATTGTTCCGTGATGTCAAGAGCTGGAATCCTGAACGTCCAGAATCTTTCTTGGAGCTCACATTTTACTGGTAAGAACTCGAAGCTCATTTCATATCCTTCTCCTGGATTGATTTCTCCGGATCTGCTCAGGCAGCGGAAAGGCACGTGAAGCTGGTCCACTGCTGATTGCAACGGAGGTTCATCTTCTGGCCAAACTGGCGAGGGCACATTGGTAGGCTCCCAAACAAACTTGTATACAATGTTGGTGGGATTCACAGCTGTGAAAGTCATGAAATTCTGGACATGTACCCCCAGTGATGAGATTTCAATCACTTTAATTTCTGGATCGAGAGGACCCACCTCACCATCAGGGCCCACCAAAGCCTGGCTTCGCCGCTTGCCCGTGATGTAATCGTTTTTAGGGAGTTTGAAATGACACCATGGTCTTGTGACATGTCCCGTAACAGGCAGACTCAAAGGCATCCATTGAGGATCTAGACCTGGAATGTCGCAAACCAAAAGCCTGGTGCAATCTTCGACTTCAATTGGCAAGAACTTCACTGTAATGGTCATCGAGCTTTCTGCAGGTACTGCTCCAGTTTTTGGACTGATATTATAAAGATTGCCCTCATCCAAATCTCCCTCCTGCTTGTGCATTAGCCAGTTGAAAAGCAGCTCCGTTCGGCTTAGATTTTTCAAGCTAAACAGGAAGGTTCTAGTTTGATACATCATGGTGGACTTAAAGTGAATAGAGCGAGCTTCACATTCATAGCGTGACATATCAGCTATTGCATGTAAGTTCAGCACCATAGCTTTTTCGCTACCAACCACCACCTCGTGTGGAGGCTCTGGTGGCACCTCAAGTTCTTCAGGGGTTGAATTGATATCTGGACTTGCGGGCTTATCCGCTTTGTTCTTCGACTTCCCTTTCCCTCCCTTTGCTGGACCCTCCTTCTCTCCCTTTTTCTTTGTTTCAGTGTCTTTACCTACTCCCTTTGTCTGCTTTCCCTTCTTTTCAGCAGACTTCAACTTGGCTACTGCAGCCTGAGCCTTTTCCAACATGTCCAAGTCGGGGAGTGGGGATTCCCATTGAGTTGGAGGAGGTTCTCCCTCTAAATACACAATGTTGACCATCGGTGCTCTAATTTCTGTGTCGATGTATTCCACTTTCTCTGTGGGATTGAACTCCATCGAGATTTCCTTGAATGAACCCGCATGCAGGTGGCATGTAGCAGGGGAAAACTTAACAAAGGGGATTACTGGCCACGTAAAACGCCAGTTTTTATCCAAGCAATTGTTCTTCAGTAGGAAAGCAATTGACTTTGTGGTGTTGAAAGGACCGTCATCGAACCAAATTTCGTCACATAGTTTCCTCGGTAGGTCCAAACACTCAACTTCATCCATGTATCCTTCCGCTGTTATCAAGATATTGAGGTTGTTGAACGGATTAGAAGATATAACTACTTGTAATTCGCATTCGTACTTTTTGATTTCCAAAGGCGTGAACGTGACTAGTATGGTCTCTCTTTGTTTACTACGAACCTTGAAACTTGAACTTAATGGAAGTGGTGAATACACCATTTGATCAGTTTTGAGGCTCATTGCCAACCAAAGAACACTTCCCCCAACCACTAGAATGTTAGCCGTCGCCGGGACAATGCCTTGATTGTGGAGAACGATAGGAAGTGTGAAAGATTGATTGACCTTAACGCGGGGGTACTTGAGCCATGGCGCTCCCGAGGCCGAGAGCTCGGTGGGACACTCAACCTGGATATGAGGTAGAGTTCCATCGCCTCTGATATGACATTTAAACTGCTTGTGTTTCACATTGTCTCCCCCATTCTTCACGATAGCTTCGAATACGGCTGCGTAGGTTCGAATAGACAATGGGTTGAAAATGCACTGAATATAGCTGCAGTCAAGAGGAGGGACAGATATACTCTGAGGCTGAATGTCCATTGCAAAAGGAACCTCATAAGCCTCAAGGGTTTCCTGTTCCACCACTTCAGGAGTGAGCGTAAAGTCCACAGTGCACGGAACTTTAAAAGGGTTCATGATTTTGAAATTCACATCTGCCCCATGTACTTTGACAGGTCTGGGTGTTCTTATAGTATCCAAAAAATCTTCTGACCACTTCACCGAAACTTTAACGGGTTCTGTTGCTGCTTTCTTTGACGGTGGGTCCGTGTCGATGAAAACTGGACCAAATGAGAAGATATGATCTCCTTTAGAATAAGTTCTTGGTGGCAGCACTGCCGGAAACATCTCGAATTCATCCAGCATTCTGTGTTCTTCGAATATCACCTCCGGATCAGTTACAAATCCGGGGAACTGTGATTCGCCCTTCAGTAGGTAAAGAATGTCTTCAGGGTACTTCAAAGGGTCCTTTTCACTTATGAAAATTGCTATCTCCTCAGACACTGCCAATGGCGTCTCAGGTCCTTTAAAGTAGACAGAGATATCTTGTTTCATACCCGGAAGTACTGTGCCAACTGCAGGAAATAGTTGGAATCCTCGCAGGTCAATCATCTTTGGAGCCGCGTTCTGACCTTTCTTTCCTTTGCCCGCTCCTGCCGTTGTTTTAGAGGTTGCGGTTGTCTTCGCACTTGCTATTGTTTTAGTGCTTTTCTTGGTAGCGATACTTTCCGCCTTATCAGAGGGCCCACCCTCCGGAAGTTTTACCACCGGGGTCGATATCTTAAAGCTAAATTCAAATACACCAGTGTTGAGTATCTTCAAAGTGCGTGCTTCCGATAGAACTCCACATACTTGTTGCTCAAAATCTATTTCACGAGCAGGAAGTATAAGAAACTTCGAGTGTACAGCATGAAGACTTATGTAAATGGGTATTGTCTTCTCCTTGATTCCGTACAAGACTTCAATCAAATCAAGTGTAATGTCGTGATTTCTGTGCAAAATTGTCTCTTTCTTCAGGGTCTTGTTTTTATTGAAAGAGAAAGTAACCTGCAAGTCGTGTGCGTTCGAGAGGTCATATAGTGGAAGATAAAAGTTGCTTGAACATTATCGCTGCCACGAATAGGCAGATGTAAAAATTATGCGTCTAATCAACCCAACCGCTGAATTTTAGTAGTCTGTTGAGCACTCTTCTAATGCTGAAAGAGTGATGCATACGAAGGATGTAAGCTTCGCTGACCTTTAGCTGGCCTTTAGGCTGCAATTCTCCCTCCAGCGGAGTTATCGTGAAGAGCTCCCGGATAAGCTGGGTGTTAAGATTGAATTTATATCCAACTTTATACTTGCCTTTGTTTTCCAGGATTACAATTTTTAACGCTTCTTGAGCAACTTTGATTGTACCATAATCAATGCCATCTTCTACTGCTGGATCCGGGTACTTAATTAGCACGTTCATTAAGTACCCTTCAGCAGCGAGGCGTAGTGGATGTTCCTGGGCAATGTCTTTACAATGCGTTACCTGGAGGCATGCTTTTGTGATTAGTATCTTACAAAGATATAGCAAATATTTGGGAGTTCATATTTGAGATTCCACCAACTGCATTCCCAACACTGCATGTGTCCAGGACGTCTGCACAAGCTCGTGTTGTGTATGATATGAGTTTTTGGAGAGAAGCTGATCCTGATATGTCCTATTTGTTTACTGTAAAAGCCAGTGGTGAATGAAAGCATCACGTCATAGAGTCTATGGACATTTAGCATAGATATTGATTTTGATGGATTCCCATGAATTTACTGAACGACTTCGGAGTTCAGTCCGTGGTACTAAAAGCTCAAAATTCTCTGTAGAAGGGAATGGATTATTGGTTGCAGGATGGACTGCTGTCTGTGATGAAGAATCCTTATTACAAGATGCTGGACAGTTCTCAGGTCTGCAGTTTGATTTCTATGAAAGTTCTTTGACAAAGTTCACGTAAGTGCTGCAATTGGAGAGTTCATAAGGTGATTGCGTCGTACCTGAACCTTGAGCTTCAGATCAAATTTTTGCTCCGCTGCTGAGCTGAAAGCTATCAGCAGATTCACCTCCTCTCCTGCCTTGAGAGGGCCTGATGTCTCTGAAAATTCGAACTCAGGAGGCACAGTTTCAAGTCCAGTTATGCTCCATCTTAGTCTGAGTAGGCAGGTGTTCCTACACATGAAGCATTGGAAGGTTAAAGCGAAGAATGCGAAATATTCCTTGCATAGTTTAGACATGCTGTAACGAAACGTATAAATGAGGCCTTCTTGCAGGTCAAGGGGCACCTCCCCCGATAATTACAGTAACAAGACCGATTTTTCGGTATGGTCCACAGTGATGACAACGTTCTACGACGTTAAACAGGAAACTAGTAAGTGCTGTAAGTACCGGGTTTCCTTAATCTGCAACCTAGCTCAAACCTGGTACAGGCTTTGCATGAACTGAAAATGCACACTCGATTTGGCTCAGACGATCGTCTTCAAGAGTAAATATGTACTTCACTATATAGATTAAAGTTAACTTGAAACCGTTGATGTGGTTGTTGAAGGTCTTACTTGATGTTTAGTTCCATAATTTTCCTCTTTCCCAGAAGAACGCGTTGAAAGTCGATAAAATTAGAATTTATTTGAACTGTTGGAGTATCTGACACGCAGGTAACTGTGAACTCTAGTGGCTCGGGGTTTTCCTTAATTTTGCATATTAGCTTTTCTGTAAGCTTCCCAGTCATGCCCTGTACTCATACCAGCATCGATTCGTGTTCATCAATGTGCTGGAATTGAAAATGAGCATGAATTGCAATTGAGATTACATTCAGGTCTACTTAGAAAAATCTAGTCTAAAAAAATATTGACCGTTATTTGGGCAAAGTCTTCCTTACCTCCCGTGGATATGCAAAGAGGCTCAGCGTTTTGCTCTCGTCGATTTTCAGATCCATAGCTGGGGGATGGATCGAGAAAACCGGCTGATTGGCGTCACCTTTCGTGCCTTTCTTCGCACCGGGCTTGCCTGTTTGTTTAGTTTTCGCAAGCTCCTGAGCTTTCTTCGCCTGCTTTTCCTTCATTTCTCCGCTTGTTGGAGATCCTGGTGCCTTCTTCCCTCCGGCTTGTGGGGACTTTGGCAGGGCCCCCTCTTCAACTACCTTTAAGAGCGAAAAATCCACATGTAGGTCAAATAGGCCAGTGTTGCGTACGCAAAGCTTTTTGCAGTGCTCACCATCAGGAATATCGGGGTATTCTGCAGGGCATCTTCCTGTGTTTATTGGTCCAAAGTCTAGTTTGCCGTCTGGCACTGCAACCAAGGTAGGTATGCGCTTCGGGGCCACCCCAATCAGAAAAGGAACTGCTTTTCTCGGTGGAAACTTCATGTAAAATACCGTAATTTGAGGATAGGCACTTATACCCGTGCAGAATAGGGTTGCCTGGTGCCCGAGGGTTCCCATCACTTCAAAAGCAAAGGTGTGGTCGAATTCTCCGACTTGGCTTGACCAGAATTGTACCAGGAGACTGATGTTTGTCTTTGGGGGTATAAGCCATCTAGTTTGCTTCACATAACCTTTTGGAACAATTTCATGTAGAGACTTCTGTATGCCTACGTCTCCTTTGGCACCCTCCTTTTTCTTTCCTTTCGCTGTCCCTGGTGTATCTGCCACCTTCTTAGGTTTGAGTGCCTCCTTTTTACGGGTCTTATCTTTGTCTCCTTTCGGCGAGGAAGGATTTTCTCCTGGTAAAGCAGTGAAAATTGAGTACGTGAAGTCAGGATCGTCAAGGAGTTTTCGAACCTGCGGCCTCTTGACAACCTGACGTATCTCAGGCGAGGGTAATGGAAGCTCACATGGCGGCATAGGTAGATCTCTCATTTCTTGCAGGAATATGGAGTCGATGTCTTGAAAAGCTAAGATAGATGAGATCAATACGTTTTGACCGATAGCCTTAGCCTCTTCAATACTCTTGGAGACCCCGATCGCGGCAAAGACCTCGGCTTCTGATTCAAAGTACTTCTGGATGTCCTCCGGGGTAGGATAGACTGACTTGTAAGGGTAGCTCAAAGGGCTCTCCAAATGTAGGTGTGGAACAAGTTCAGTACTGTCAGCGCCGGCACCTTCGAGCGCAGGAAAGTGTAAGTGATGATGGCAGAGTCGGTGAGGGGTTAAAGTTTCTGATGTTGGAGCATCTTCGTTTACATATGCAGGTTTCAGACAAGAATGGCAGGTTTCGGGAAGGTCTGCGTAAAAAGCAGTAAGTTCCGGACTCTCGGCTGTGAGTGCTATCAAGTTGACAGTCCGACTACCCTTCCAGACAGTCTTTGCTTCTGTTTTCCTTTTTGCATCGTCTTTTCCTTGTGCCTTCCCTTCTTTCTTCCCTTCTGTGTTGGCCTTCCCCTTTCCCTCCTTTTCTTCCATTTTGGTTTCCCCCTTTCCTTCTCCTTGATCAAACTTGACTCCTCCATGTTCTAGTTCAGGTACTGGAACATTCACTGTAGTTGGCTTAAAACCTAAGAGTTGCAGAAGGCCCGTGATAAATGAGAGAACTGGGCCATATGTAGAAGTCAGACCATCGAATATAACCCCAGCGACACAATCTGGCTCATTAAGCCTCACTTGGATCATATCCAGGACCTCTTTCTGAAACGCTTCCTTCCCAAGATCTTTACCGCCTGCCTTTGCTCCTTTCTGCGTATCTTCATCATCAGGTTTTTTCTTCCCACCTTGCTGTTTCCCCTTCACTTTTAGTTCATCCTTTTTTTTATCTGCTGCCATACCCGGTCCCTTTTCCTCTTTTAGTTTCCCTCCTTTAGGATCCACCTTTTCATCAGTTTTAGCTTTCGTTTCTTGGCTAGGAACCTTCAATTTTCCTTTCTTAATCGCAGAAGTGATAAGCGACTCAACGTGGAGTATGGGAATTTTATACTTGAGACTAAGCATCTTCGCTTGTGTAGATTTACCAACAAGTGGAGGTCCGTACATGAGTATGATGGGTCCTTTGGCCCCAATTGTCGATTCTTCCTGAATATCATCAGCACTCACCTTTGCAGGCTTACCCTTCTTTGACTTAGGATCTTCGCCTTTCTTCTCTTTCGCTTGTTTTGCACTCTTTGCTTGTGCATCTTCTTTTCCTTGTCCTTTCCCACTTGTAGCTCCTTTTGGAGAATTCGGGGCTGCTCCAGCAGTGTCACCTTGTAGTTCTTTCCAAAATGGTTGCCCCGCTTCTCTAATATCTATCAGTAGAATGTTTTTGTCGTTGTAGGTTTTGATTCCCCTAAGAACCTCTTCTTCCTGGATGTATTGAGGATCGAAGTCAACCGAATATACTTCTAAGTTCTGGTTAGATCTATTCTTCAGTTCAACCTGCAGCTGGAAAGGAACTGCTGCGTTTGGTATTACAGGACCTAGCTCAGCCTCGGGCGGTTCGAAGCTTATAGGTGGGATATAAGCGTGTCCCTTGAGAGCAAGAACAACGGGAGTGTCGATATCAGCAACGCGAATTGGCATCACTGTCTCGTAATTCGTTTTCAACTTCTGCAGCTTTGGAATGAAGAGTACCTGTGAAGTGCCAGACGATATGCTCAAAACTTTGGACGAAGAAAATTTGAATTCACCTTAGTAAGTTAAGGCTGTCGTCTATTGTAGCTCACACAGCCCTTTCTGGGTTCTTACGAACGGCTAGCTGCCGGGTATTCGCGAGAGTTATGGAGTGCATTTGGAGAATCTTCGAAAATGTTGAAGTACATCTACAGTAACCTTAGTTTATCCCTTTCCTAAATGACGTTCCAAGTTTTGTCCTTAGTTTGGTCAATCCAAGCAGCGGTCCTTAATTAGACACCTGGGAGGTTGGGTTTGTGAAAATAAAGGTTGTAGAGTAGACAAGTTCAGTCGTTACAGTCATCCCTACTCAAAAGAAGCAGGGCATGCAGACCTTGACAATCACAAAATCGTATGGTGGAATCTTTCCGGAGTCGGGGTGGCAAGTAAAATAGTCCCAATCCCTCAGTACCCTCATTGACACTGTTCCCGGCTCTGGCCTCTCTGCTTTCCATTCGCAAGCTGCTTCACCCCGATTTTCAAACCGGACATAGATAGTCTGTGAGACAGGTTTGATCTAGTCAGCAGAAAAACGAGTGTGAAGAAAGAAAAGAATTCGAAGTACAGGCTACATCGATAGACTAAATCATATCTCGAGATGTATGAACTTAGCTGACTAGGTATAAACTCTGACTGTTTTAGGCTTTCCCCCAGAGTAAGGATTAGCCCAGTTAGATTTGTGCATTTGCTATGGTTATTTACTGAAATGTGAACCATATGTACTTCTGATGACAATAAAGCCGGGATTCTCAAGGCTCAGCCTGTTTGTCAATTCTTGAGAGATTTTGAAGGTGTAACTAGACACAGATTTCGTGGAATTTATGAATGCTATTTCATTTGTTCGCATAGTGACTTCTTGGCTAGGTGAGGATTCTAGAACATGTTTCTTGAATGTACCTTGCAGCGACCAACTGGTGTTATCCCGAAGTCGACCAAATAAGTGGAGAGGATGAGGGCAGGAGTAACCACATTTGCTTTTAACAACACCATTGACAAGGGTCCCTGGAATGAAGAACAACTGACATAAGTTTCTTCTGCTTAGTAAAAATTTTGCCTCAAAACTACGAGTTATAATGTCAGTGATAATAGAAGCAAGATGGAAGTCAAAATGCCGTTGATCAACTTGATATTCGGATGCAAGTATTAGTTCTATAAATCAAATAAGAGGCAGTTCTCCAAAACATGTCTACTTTAATATTTTGAACTATGTTGCAGTAGTTGATGAGGATTTCTTCCAAATGTATACTATTGTATAATGCTCTTATCGACTCTTTTGGATTAGCCATAGCTTCTTACTACTGCCCCTCTCCCCACCTTCAAATGGGCAAGGAGCAGCAACATTGTGGCAATAACTCTCTAGATAGGACTCCTCACACTAGAACCGGAGACCAATTCGAAATTGAGTCAGTGTTTCAACCACTTCCACTTCTTGGCAGTGCAGAAAGATGCGGTGAGTATCCGAGTAGATGATCAGTATCAATGTGTATACTCTTACCTTGATTGCTTTAATGACTGAATACCAATATATGCAGTTTTGAGCTTCACCTTTGTGTCATATATCCTAAATCCTAAATGATAGTGGCCGATGACTCCTTAGTCACAAACGTAACCCTAAAGTAAGTTATTACTTAACTTCTGTAACGAACCGTCCATCCAATTCACATATTACTGTTTCTGTCATGGTTTGACTCTTAGATTAATTCCAAACATTACAGAAATTTGTTCCTCAGTGGAATTATTCTCAAAGAGGAACAATCATTTCTCTCAATGAATGTATGGTATGCTAGAATATGCATTGGCTTTTTAGCAGAGCATGTGCATCCTTTCTTGGGAAATTAATCCATTCGAAACACTCTGAGACACTAACCAATTATGGTCTCACAATACATGACTCTGGCTATGCCGGTTGTTATGCTCTAGTGTCAAGAGTCGTTCAAAGACCCATGGAAGGAAATCGCATAGTGCTCATTTCTCATTCTTTATGTACTTTACATCTTAACACTATGGAAGGCGAACCCTCATGTTTATATCTTTTCTACACTTTGACTAGTGTATGTTTCCTTCAATTTGCAAAATTATGAAGTTCATTATTTTGAAATACCGAAATATACAGTTGGATCACAATGTATAGCTGTAATCCAGATGGATATTGATATTGATGTCTCTTTTACTATACCAGGTCATATGGAGTCTTTTGCACATGTATAGCTTGCGCACACTCAAAATAACCTCAGGCAAATTCTGAGCATTTCTGTTGTAGTTGTAGTCAAAACTATGTCATTCACCTTCAACTAAGCTCCAACTCGAATTCAGTTGGATTGATACATCACCCGAACATCTCAATTATCAGGTCAATGATCACTGGCAAGTTGTACTCACCTGATTACTTTACTGACTTAGCAGTACTACATAGATGGACGCACAAATCCGAAACCTAAACCGATAGTGACAGCTCATTCGTCAAATCCTAAAATGAAGTTCTAGTCACCTCTTAAAACAAATGGTAAATCGAATTTACGATATATTGTACCGAGTTGCTCCGGTTACAACACAGTACAATACGTAATTTGTCATAGGTAGTTGCTTCCACCAGGACACGCGACAAATGACATTGTGGATTGAGCTGGGTTGAAGGAAAATACCTCTTTTATATTGAAATGGACCCAGCACTGTAATTTGCCGGTTGGGAATTTGGGCTGGTTGGTGTTCAACGTTATGAAGAGTTCTGTTGTTTGTGGAATCGGACATCCTGGAAGAAGCTGGATAATCTTGTCAGGTTCAATGGAGAAACCGAATCCTTTAGCTTTGGATTTGTCTACTTTGAAAGCAACGGGCAAGATGCTAGCATTTGTGACTCTGAGAGCCAATTTCTTCGCAAATCCAAGTCTTACATTTCCAAAATCCATGCAGTACTTGTTTTTGATCAGTTTTTGAATTTCAACTCCGCTTTTCTCAATCATTCGATATGTCGGCTCACAAACAGGTTCTTTATCCTTGCTACCATCCGCAGTCTCTTCTGGCAGCTTAAGGGATGTTGGATCATCGACTTGAGATGTTTGCTCCTTAGCTTTCGGACCGCTTTGTACTGCGCTAACAGCTGGTGATGTATTCTTGTTTCCTTTGGGGGCAGTTGCTGGAGGAACAGTGCGCTTCGACTTATTATTCTCCTCTGCTTCTGGCTCTAGATTAGCAACTGCTTGACCCTGCAGTGCCGGTGTTTCTTGAGTATCTCCAGTGCTTTTAGGTTCTTCAATAACTCGCTCATAGAAATACTGGAGCATCATGAGGCGGTCGATCTCAGCGTCCACCTCTTCCAAAGTAGGCTGGAGTAGTATTTCTGCTTCTTCTTTACGCTTGGCCTCTTCCATAGCCTGCAAGATTTGACTGGTATCATTTTGGGTTCAAGGGTTGCCCAAGGAATGCTAATATTGCAGTACTACTGCACTATAATGGATTATTTCTTGAATTGTTACCCTTTCTTTGGGTCGATTTGCAAATATCGTTTATGCAACTACCTCAGTGTGCTTGTTCGAATTCTTCCGCTTAGATGATATTGTCTCTGGATTATGACTACCGTGAAGCTCCAGTATACTGCTATATCTTCTAAGTTTATAGTTGTGAATTTATTTGAAGGGAGGCCTGATGTTTAAGTAATGAATGTAGAATGTGGCTTTAATTCTGATTTAGAGTTTGAGAAGATGTTACATGTGCGTCATTTGTTTTGTATCCACCAATTCAGCGAAATAGAATCTTTAGAGAGCTTCTGTGATAAGTAGTCATTATCTAGTGCACACTCATCTTACTAGAGACTGAGGTCATAAAAAGTGGCACAGGTCAATATATTGCTTAGGCAAATTTCTTTGTGTGAATGATCTGGCATTGTGATTCATTACTACTACTCTATCATCTGATTTATCAGCCATGACACTACAGTTACCTGTTCGTGCAAGAATATTTCTTCCTCGCTCTCGGTCATCTCAATATCTGGTTCCTGATAAAGACTGCTGGCGTCTAGAAGTTGATCATCCGAATCTGGATCAGGGGCCTTGTCGTTTCCATGGATGCAAGTGCTCACACACATACTGGGATGTCGTTGAATACTCTCTCGTCTTCGATGAGCAGGAATTCCAGGCGTGGTAACCTCCGACGTTGAGTCTGCAGAAGAATCTTTTGTTGGATATACATTGTTCTGTCTCTTTGATTCAGACACATACGTCCATGCGTTCTCCACATACGAGAGAAATTTATGTCCCCTGACACGATGAGTATCAAGCAGAATACTAGGGTACGACCCTTCGATTTGTACCTCCAGATTGTGAGGATGAAAGTATTCTACCTGTGGTGTATCAGGACCACTCTCAGTTCTGAGTGTCTGCAGTAACGATATAGAACACATCCTAGTGTAGAATCTAGTGTGACTCAGGTCAACTTCTCTCTTTACTATGTTATGGAAGGATAAAGTTGATTCTTCTGATGAGCCTGAAAACCCCATACCGTGATGTTAAAATGCTCTTCAAAGCGGTCAGGGACCCCTGCCATCATTGTGAGACTGAACTTTTGTTTCTCGCCTCCTTTTAAGCTTCCAGATTTTGGCTCGATCTGCAATGACTGCTTGCGCTTGATAGAACTGAGGTCGAGTTCAAAGCTGATAGGAACTAGTCCAGTGTTTGTAAGAGATAACATCCTGCTGGTAACTGGATGATTAAATGCCTGAACGCCGAAGTTCAGAAGCATCTTGTTCAACACGTACTTAATGGAACTTGATTCTGCTTCAAGCACTACGTTGTAGTTTGGACCTCCATCCACCTACAAAATTCTGGATACATAGAGTTAATCATGGCGTCAAAATATTACATGAATGACTAGATCTGCTTGCCTCATTAACGCAATTTTGCCCCCTAAAGCTTCTCAGAACTGGACATGATTAACAATATACTGCGTGCAGTCTACTCCAAGAGTTATCAAACACGAACATTCGGAAGTATCTCAACACTGTCCTGCAGTTTCATTGGACGATGAAGGACGTGCTCTAATAGGTTGCATGCACCCGTAAATATCATTCGCATCACCTACTGGTTTGTAACCAAAGGATGGCTGTGAATATGGGGTAATCGAAGTGATCCCAGTCAATTGTGAAATTAGCCCTCCGAAGCAAATGTCCATTACCGACCATGTGGTAAGGAATATCCTCCTTAACCAATCTCTTTTCATATGAAGATGGACAATATTTTGTACGACGAAACCATTAGAATAGAAAAAGCCCAGTTATACACTTTGTACTTGGGTAGAAAAGCTTGCAAAACATCGGTACATCACAGGTCAAACGTGTAAAATTTTGCAAGCATGAAACAGATTATGTGAGAAAACTCGATTGCATTGTGTTTGTCATGAAACTCACCACGAGAATTGAATCTCCACGACGAAATTTTCTCATTTCGATTGCATGAATAATATTTTAGATATCATGGTAGTTTTCATCAATGAAGAAATCAACCAATGAGATAGTTCGTTTTAGACAAGAAATTATCATATTTAAAAAATATATAAAAACTTTTTACAATATATTCTATGTTCAAAATATAAATTAAAACAATGATTTAAACCATTTCGACGCACAAAGAAATCGTTTCAAAATTTAAATAAATGGATAATTGATTTGTTTAATATGTTGTTTGTAGAACAGGATAGTTAAAATATCAGCCCACTTTATAACTATCAGACATTTACAACCGTGATATTATTACGACTAGACTCCATTCCCCGTTCGGTTTAGTTTCTCTGCTGTATGGTTTCGTGAGTCCTGATCATATTTTGTTATCTAGTGATCCCTCGTAGGCTTCGAGCAAGCGCAAGTCGAGAAAATGCTGTGGAGAAGAAGGAGATAGGAGGAGGAGGAGGAGTGCATGGCGAGTTGTACCTCACAGAGCGCCAGCGCGCGACATTTGTAGGCGGGGAAGCTGTAGAACGAGAACTCGACCGTCTCCTTCTCGCCCGGAGGAAGAATGTTGCGAATGGGCAGAATGTCGAAGATCCGATTGGCCGGGATCTTGAAGTCCTGGTTCAGCAGCAGCTCGTCGCGCGAGGTGTCGATGTCCACCCCGTGCTTGTCCAGGAACGCCCAGCAGTAATGCACGTCCATGATGCTGATGTTCTTGATCTCCAAGTAGCACCGCTTCGACGTGTTCTCCGTCACGCACCTGCAGCCGCCACCACGCGAACTTACACACACCGCTGTGCTGTGGTCCTCCCTCCATTCATCCATGCATCATCATTCATGCTTTCGTTGTCAAAATTGGCCCTTCCCACACCATTTATTACTATGCTTCAGCTCAATCCTGGCTCTCAAGAGCCATGCAGCTGAGGCTCGATCGATTCAACATAATTTGGCGACTGTAAATCCCATCAGACATGCCAAGGAGATCCCCACATGGATGCATATTATCCGGACCTGTGAGTGAAGATGTCTGACAGGATATAGCCCTGGCAGCGATCGATTGATGGAGTGATATAGTGAGTAGGAGAGTGAGGGAGAGAGGGAGAGAGTGAGTGAGCGATGACTGTCGAGCTCAACTTTCTGTTGGAGCTTATTCAGAGTCAGGGGTTTGGGTTTGGGTACGAGATGACGGGATGAGATCGATCTCGTGCTCGTGCAGTGGAGAGCGATGAAGTGGGTGGTCAGTGGACTCACCCGAAGTCGATTTTGTTCGTGTCGATTTGCAAGTTGGGGAAGTGGATTTCCGCTATGAGACCGATGAAGTCCTTGCGCGAGGTGTCCCTGTACGTGACGGCGAGCTTGCTGGTGAACGTGTGGCTGATCTTGTCTGCAGGACGCTGCCAGTCGAGGATGACATTGACGGTGATGGTTTCCAAGGGCTGCAGGACGATTTCGGCGTCATCGACGCTCAGTCTGTACGGGAGCTTGATGCCGAAGCTGAAGTGCAGAGGCTCCTTGAATATGTTTTGACACGATAAAGACTGAACCGTCTCGTCTGCTTCCTCGTGCCCCGGGCCATTGATCTGAATGAATCTCAGCGTGGGCGACGAGAAGATCAGAGCCAGAGCTGCGACCTCCGCAGTCACCAGCACATGATGAATCTCCGGCTTGGCCTTGGTTCGCACGCTTGCCACTAAGCCGATGAATTGCAGCTTCTCTTCTATCGTGCACGCTTCGTTTGCAGTTCCACTAACTTCAAAACACTGCACAGCGTGCTGCTGCAAGGTTGCTGTCGCAGGTTTCACCGAGAAATGGACCGTCACATGTCTCGTTATGTTCTCACATTCCAGACTCCGTGGCCTCCGGCCGAGATTCTGAACGCTCATGATTCGGGTCATGGTGGAGTGCGTGAGCACGTTTCCGAAATCGATCAGTTTGGAATCGAACTCTGCGCAGATGAGAAGGCACCCGAAACCCGTGGCATAGCAGTAGACTTCATAATCGCCTCCTTCCAAGGTGAACTTGAGCACATCTTCGAACCTCATGGTGTCGTCCAAGTACGTGTCGACCTGGAATCAAGACACCAGGAGATGCAATGTGAGAATCTCTCGATGCGTTTCGAAGGTCGGCTGGCTCGAACGACTTGAGGACCTCTTGTCACAGCGCTCTCCGTTTCACAGCAGAATGCAGACACTCTGATCTGAGCTGTTTCGCAGTGCATGGCGATCCGACCCTGCTGCCCATTCTGTTGTTGGTTCCGTCATTTCTCCTAAAAGAAGAAGACGAGTGGTGCACTCACGGATGCCAGTTTCCATTCGTTTAGTGTCGGTGAGCAGTTAGACGACAGTGGGCCTCCACCAACGATGACCTTGTTTTTCCCAGACCCGCACATTCTTGGTACCTCTTCCTTTTCTTTCATCAAGAGAGTGAGTGCCATGCTCCAGCATGTAAACGGCTGCAAGTTTTAACCTGATATACACTTCTGAGCATCAACGCTCGGGGATACCCTCTGACAGCAGCATGCATCCTGGTCGAAGTAGTTGAATGTGTATACTTCTCCATCGATGTACTCAAAGGCTATAGAGCCTGTTCTAGTCAGCTCGTGCTAGAACATTGCTGCACCCAAGTGCTCAGTCGAAGATCGAGGGGGAGCTAGGGATGAATCGGGAACTAATTCTACCGGTGAAATGAAACCACTGGAGAAAAACTATGTAGTCAGAGCAGAAAGCTTGTTGACTCTGGATTGCAGAAGATTGACAGAAATGTGATGCTGTACAAAGAAGTAACTAGGCCGTAGGAATACTAACGAAATGGGATGAAGGAGAAGTGTTGTGGCTGGTTTAAGCCGGTCATGCAACTGTCTTGACACTTTTTCATGCAAACTATAAGATTTGACGATGATCGTTGTTCAGGTTAGATGAGAGTCCGAGATGAAGACCGACCTGTAGCATCATCACTTGATTCGGCTCCAATGATGCCTCCGACTTGTCCACATGAAATACTGAGCTAGTCTCGTTCTCGGTGAAGATTTTGAAAACTGCTGGAATGAGGCTGATGTTGGTGATCTCGAGCTGCATCGTATGGGTTTCGAGTACTTTCACTCTTCCGAAATTCAAAGTGGTCGGATCCGTGCTCGCCTTACTGGACCTGCTCTTCCCATCAGAGGGGCTGAAAAAACTGAGCTTGGGACCTATTCCAATTCCTGTAATCTTCACTGTTAGGAAAGTGGGATCCTTGCCAGAAATGCTGATGCTCATCTCGAGCTTTATGTCTCCCAGCTTCTCAGCAGTGAACTGAATATCCAGAGTCAGGATAGAAAACGCTTCGACTATGCCTTCGATGGGAGACGCAGTCACGTTCGCCTGTAGGCGGGCGTCCAAGGTCAGGGGGATAATTCTGTACTTGGCAGGCACATTGGACTCGTTCAAAAGCTCCAGGGGCTTCGTATACGTATAACGGATGTAAGACTTTCCAAAATGCAGCTCGTCGTATGGTAAGGACACCTGCAGGGATTGCCATGATGGTGAAATTTTGTTCCACACGGACATCGGAGCAACTGAGATTATGGCGGTATCTATAAATTGGATCCGAGCTTCGGGGATTGATGAAGGTGAGTAAGCAAATTCTGATCTTTGAGGCTTGAGAATCATAGACAGGTCTCATCTCATCCCATGGGACAAGCAATAGCTGAACTCGGTCGGAATGAGATGCTTACCTTGGGAATACAGCACTGGGCTTTGATCTTAACCTCGCAGAATACCTCATCCAGATGCTCGATTATCACTCCAAGGATGGCATCATACTTCCGTTCCGCCCTGGGAACCAGCTTCACGACGATGACAACAGTTTCCTGAACGGAACATGGAGTCGACGAACTTGTTAATCATGATAGTGACTCGAATGCCTCAATCCCATCATCTCCCGAAATCAATTTAGTCCGAGCCTAAACTGGAAACTGTGGAGAGCCAAGCCAAAGATGGGAGGAGCATCGAGCACGGACGTACCTTGGGCTGCACCATCGTCGTGGCTGGAATGATAACGAAGTCAGACTCCGGGCCGTGCACGTCACACATGAAGGGACGCTTGATGGACTTGGTGTTGCCGTGCATGTGGCAAACGTAGGTCACTTCCAGCTCGGAGATGGGAAGTCTGAAGCTCAAGGCGATGTGACTGCGGTTGGTAATGCGAAACTCTCGGAAGCAGTCGAATCCGAACGACACCAGGCCGAAGTCCAGCTTCCGAGGCTCCACATCGATGGCAGGGTCGATCACGTCGCCCCTGAAGTACAAGGGCGCAAAGTTGACGGACTCGTCGATCAGGTACGCGAAAGCCTCTTGGAATGCTCCTCTTTTATCCAGGAACACGCTCACGTGGATCATTGCAAACTCACCCACGGCAATGCTCCCCACCTCCGGACTGAACCTGAACCTCGTCCCCTCCTTGGATGATTTGGAATCCTGCAGCTGGAATCGCGCCTGGAGTGTGGTTCAGTTCTGTCAGTACACCGGGTCCGTGTCTGAACACGCAGCAATGGAATCCATTCGCCAAAAGATGGAGCCCGTCACTGACTGACATTCTGTGGTTGACGATAGAGACCGGACATGCTTCTAATTCTTTTCACTCGAAGGTGTGTGAAGTGCCCGAAACGCAATAAGAACGATCTTCCACTCACAACAGCGTGTCGTAATGTGTCAATTGAGTCTGAAAGCAAGTTGGCGGGTGGAAACACTAGTCTGGTGGTAAACATAGATCTCCAGTATTCCATCTAGCCTAGATTTGGATTTTACAATAATCTACTGTGATGAGGTGTTCATTCAAGGGGTCAGGAACTGGAAGAGTTAACACAAAATAGAGAAACAAACTAAGAAGACAAGAGCAGAATAGAATTCAACGAAACATTCACGTCCTTACTTCTGGAACCAAACGATTTGATCAACATCGCAAGTGATATTTTGTAGGACGAGTCTACTCATTGGATAATGAGAAAAAGGGAAGTGAAGTTCTTCCATGAAATAAAAAGGTGGTACCTAAAGTGGGCCGCCTAGCAATCAGAGGTTCGGTTTCTTTTAATTCGGGGACATGATTCTAGTTGACTTGAGCACTAAGCAGAAAACTTCACAGACACTGACTGCGTGCTCGAGTGAGTGTCACAGTGGTTCACGTAGGGCCGCGGGGAGGTTCGTGGGGCTGTGATGAACTACGACCATCGTAGAAGATGGTCGAATGCATGCATACCTCCAGTTCGCCTGTATTTTGGAGCTTCACATCGAACTCGTACTGTGATAGCAAGTTGACTTCTTTAAGGTCGATCTTCGTGGGGAAGAATTGAGCGAGGGGCCCAACTCCTTCGCCATCGATTTTCAGCGGTACACGATCTTGCTTACCAGCTATCGTGCAGTAGGCAAGAGTGAAGTATCTGGAAGGTCCAATAAAATGTATGTCAGATCCGCACCACCGGAATCCGGGAGCAAATCTCCATTCAGCACAACAATTAAAGTGAATGAGGTTTGACACATGTACGAGGGGAGATTCCAATTTCTGAATGTCTGATACGTCAGTCAGCAGCAGCAGCAGCAGGTTGCTGTCTGCCTATCTCTATGTTTGCAAAGCCGAATCTCGGCCTTCAAGCTCTCGACTTACCTTTTGGCCCTTTGAGGACTGAAGGTGCAAACAATTTCCAATCTGTTGCCAGGCCAAAGATCTCCCTTTGAGGGGTTTAGAGTAAAGATCTGTCATCACCACGAGCCATGAGAACCATATGCACGGGGTCAGAATCCCTGAATGAGTGCGGCGGTGGATCGAAGGCCCCATTTTGAAACTTGACACGGGGAATAATCAAGTTGCGGTAGCTGCTGCGCTGTTAGCGCAAATGCTTCGATAAGAAAATGTGTCACTTACGGCTCGAGGTTGATCACAAAGCCGGAAGAGATGCTTTTTCTTAACGAGACATTTGCTTCGGGAAGAGAGTCTACGAATTGCAATGCAAGCTTGGTGCGGAGTAGATCCTGTAACACTGGAAGGCATGCATTGATCTATAGCATGGTCGAATTTCTTAGCTCGGTCAAGATTTTGGAAAGAGAACATTTTATGTTCCCTCAGAATTTGTACAACTGGACAGCCAATACTGAGTACAGTTCATTCAATTCTCAAGCCTGGATCTAACTCGGTGGCAGATTATAAGCATGACGTCAATTGTACGCTCAAGGGCGTGAGTCTGCATACCCTCTGCTGTCTTGGAGCGTCTTCATCTTCATTCTGATCCAATTCATCTTCTTTGGAGAAATCTGTCGCCCACTCTCTAGCTTTAGGATCGATACCGTTCTCGAAGGCGTATTCATCAATATCAGTGGCAAATCTGATCAATCATGATAACCCTGCTGCCAATAAGCAACATAGGAATTGAGCATGACCGCTTACTATTCGCACTCTCGACGGATACAATATAGTGCTCCGACACACACTGAGTTTATCAAGACAACAGCATCTACTAGTACAAGTATCAAGCACAGCTCATTCAATTTTGTGACCCGTGAAAATCTTTGGCTGTTGCTATGGTCGACTGAAAAGATCCGAAGTCTCTAGTTGCAAATCCAGATGCTCGTCATTTCAGAAACGTATAGCCATCGTTGACTCTTTGCTGTCCACAATGACACCATATTCAGGGTCCAAGCTAGTTTTGTGAAGTGCAATTTGAAGTGATTTAACATATCGTATCGATTGAGGAGGCACACCAGGACTTCTGTTCAATTTTGACAGCTTCATCGAGTACAAAGTCCAAATGACTAGAGCTGAACTGCACCATCATGTACAACGCAGTCCATGATTGTGCTTTCAAGCAGTGGAGATCAGAAGAAGAGCGATTTCTCCCTTTTTCCCGATCGTCGGCTCTTAAATCAGGGCCCTTGAAATTTTTACGATATGAACGCTTATCACTCGTGGCCTTGTGCAGCCGATGTATAGTTCAAATCGAGTGTAAAATTACAAGTTGCATTGCGGGGTTGACAAAGAGCACCTTTCGAACTCGAAGTGTGAGACACTGGTAGAGAAATTGCTGATGAAGATACTTCTTTCTGAGCTTGTATGTATATGAGTCGGCTTCATAGTCAAGTCATCCGTTGAGAGTCCAATATCCAGCTGCCAGAAATAAAGTCCAGGGCTAAAGTTTTACGGGAAAACCAGTATTCATCGAGATCATCACTTCGTATTATCACATACACCTTGGTTCGCAAGCATCAGAAGCCCAGAAAACAAATCTCGCGCTTGGATGGATGTTTAGAATGACCCAAGACTTGCACAAATCGTCCGTGCCCTCTTATAGAGACATTTCTGTCCAGGTTGTTCACGTTGTAGATCGACTCCACGACTGTGATTCGTGAGATTGACACAGACTGGTGTGATCTGGTAATGTCAATGAGACCGAGCCCACACGATGAATGGGAATACGATTGCAGAATCAACTGGATTCAAAGTCGATAAGAATAAGAAAAGTACCTCAATACCTGTGCCAGTCAGTCTGCTGAAAACAGCTTCTCCAGTATCGACATACGTTAGTTCGAGCTCTCCCTCGAAGAAACCAATCTTAGTCGGTTTGAACTCCAGCTCGAGCTCCACAAATTCACCAGGTTCAAGTTTACCACTCAGGGGAAAAATTATGAAAATATCCGGATGCCGAGTGCCATGCTCGTCCTCGACGTAGGCGAACACTTGGAAGTTTGCGTATTTCGTTCCTCGATTATGAACCATCACATTCTGAATCGACAGAAGAGCTCACGTCATCGACAAGCTGATGCATGGATCGATGCTTCACTGTTGCGCAGTCAGTTAGTTTACATTACTGGAGGCCAGTGATACTCCCACAATCGTGCCCAAATAATTTTGCATTGCAGTCCGTGCATGTCTGAAGGGTGGAACCACACTGTTGACAAGAGCCGACCATTTATAGAACACATTGTGGAGCTCATACGCGTACCTTCTTGTAATTGAACTGCACTGGAGTCGGTGGAAAGTTGATCTCATCAGCCATCTCCAGAACACCTACAGAGCCACAGCTTCAGCGGTAAGAGAGAGATTCGCTTACGGTGGCGTGTGTAGGCACGGGCTCACTTTAAAGTCCGGCGACTATGGCGTAACGTCATATCTTATGACCCCACGGCAGTTGCAAGCACCATCGACGAGAGTGTGCAGTCCCTCAGAGCAATCTCGTGTATCACAAGACATGGGAAGATGGGACGAAGTACAGAGTGAACTCGTATGATTTAGGTTCTGAGTCAGAAGAGTTGACGTCTTCCCAAGTCGGCTAAATATTGATCTGATCCCAGAACTGAAGCGGGGAAAGGTGCTTGTCCTTGGCAGGCTCCTCAGCAATAAGAAGCTCGTGCCCCTCCAGTCCTAAGACGAAACTCCTGTACAGTAGTGAATATATATCGGGGCCTTATGAAAGCAGAACCCAGAGTTTGGATGAAGTCTGTAGCAAGTACGAGCTGGAAGAGTTTCAATTATCTTTCGGTGCTTTGGAGTATAGTTGTGCCTGGAGACATTCCATCTCAAGGGTTGAGAATGATGCAGAGGAGAACAGAAGTTGAGAAGGACGAGTGTCGGTCATAGTGGTTATGAATATTCCGTTGAACGATTCGAGACGAAAGCAGGGACGAAGTGCGAATTTTTTTGGGCTTTAGATCAGTGGGGTACTTTCCAATTTTCTGGTTTATCCATTAGAGCCCTTTATATGTGCAGATTTAGAAGGCGAACTCCGGGTTCGGATCCATCTGACCTCTGATACCATGACCGATGACCGGCACCACAAACTTTTCGCGCTCTGTGACCACGACCACTTCTGATTCGTAGTCATCCTCCGATTGAGGACAGAAGTTGACAATGACAGAGAACTACAAAACCAAAGCTTCAAGTCAGACAATCTCTCCGTGGTTGGACTAGCGTGGAGCATATTAACCCAACACGTACGAGAAAGCAGAACCAATAATAATAATGATTTAATTCGTATTATTATCAATTTAGGTGTCAAATTGAGCAACGATTTTATGGCACGTCTTTCTGCCTGTGTGCCTGTTTGTAAGTAGAAAGTTCACGTGAATCGTCCTCTCTTATGTCAACGTACCTCCATCCCACAAGCAACCTTACTGACTCCGAGTTCATCGTAGATCGTCAGAGTTTCCAGATCTGGATGGCTGTATGGTTGCACTGTCAAAATCTCGGAAACCAGGGGAATCACCATGACCCTCCGCACAAGCTGTACGACACCATTACGAGTTAGCATCAGCTGAAACTAAACACCACATTCTGGGACACATGGGACCATTCAAACTCAGCTCCATGTTACACTCTACCCCGTTACATATATTTTCCTGAACTTTTATACTAAATTATACAAGGTCAAACGGTTTCAGAGTAGTTTCAGCAGTAGTTTCGGCAGTCAATACATTCAATTACAAGTGGATGGGGGAAAACTCGTGGTCAGATCTCGTGTCCATAATGATCATGCGATGTTATAAAAAACGCATGATGGTTGTGAACACCACCTTGTCATTGTTACGCAGCTGCAAGATGGCGTGATACTTGTGGAAGGCCTTGAATCCAACGAAGGTGATCTGAGGAGGAAACGGCTGGAACAATGGCTCCTCGACGCTGACCGTAGAAGGAACCTGCTCCTCGTGCGTGCCAACAAAGGCATTTACTTTCAGTTTTACGTTAAGTTGCTGCTGTTAGCTTCCAGTAGGCTTGTCTAAGAAGGACCCGGATCAAATGGTTCTGAGACTGGATAAACTGGATTAACTGTGCAAATCATGTGGCGGGTGGGAAGTGAGTCCACTGCAGGAGCAGAAGTAGCAATCAACCGTGTTCATTTTCATTTTAACGATCTGGAGAAGCAGCTCAGTTCAAGGAGGAGGATCTGGGAGTGACGTGCATGCCTGATACGGAAGGTTGAAGAAATTGTGGCGCTCGATGATTTGAGGTTTGAGGCGCAGTTTGCCATCTCTGTAAGGAATGGGCAGGTCCAGCTTCTCTTTGACCAGGTCACTCGGTCGCTTCTGAATCACACCCACCAAAGTTGCAACCAACACGAAGAGAGAAGCGTTAGCAGTCTGCATCATACAGCATCACCCTCGGGGCTTTCCGAGGGAGATCCGTTCGGCTGCAAGCTCTGTGAATTACATACATGCTCGCGTATCTAAGATCTGGCGAATTGCCGTGGAGGCTCTTTCCAGTCTGATTTCCAGTCTGATTGTCAACGATACGCAGGGTCGACTGTTTCCCTCTCCATCATCGGTGGGCGTATCATCCATGCTCTTGTTCTGTGCCGGTGCAGGTGCAATCCTGCCCTGCCCTGCCCTGCCCGCTGGCTACCTTCAGACTCAGATTGAACTGTACTGTATCGATTGAGCCTCAGGGCAGGACAGGGCAGGGCAGGGCAGGGGAGGGGGTCTGTCGTCGAGAATCGACAACATTTCGACAGGAAACGCTCTTTTGGCCCTCTGCGGGCCCTTTGCAGAATTCCAGGCCCGAGTCATCACAGGGGCTAAAGTCTTCCCCCAAGCCCCACGACCGATTGACAGGGTGCGGCATCCGGTCAGAACGGAGATGCAGCCAGGGACCGATGGATAGATAGAAGCCCACGTCGCGTCGGATTGGAAGGACGGAGGCCCCGACTGACCGACTGACCGACAGACCGACTGAGGTGCTTGCTTACCTTGCGCTGCGCGTGGTCGGGGTCGGGAAGTCCGTAGGCCTTGTACTTTACCGAGAGCTGATGCAGCGACAGCTTGCCGGCAGTCGGGCCCAGTGCTTCGTCGCGCGGCCGGGAAACGGCCAGATTCAGCACCGGCGTCGTCATCTCTCCCGCCCGCCCGCTCTCCCGCTCTCGCGTCCGCTCACAGTCTCGCCGGCGCCGATCTCCTCAGCCCTCCTCCGGGCACCGGCTGCCGCCAGGCCATCGCCTGCCCCCTGCGGCAGCTCCTGAGTCGGATATGGCGCAGACGCAGACGCAGAAGCGGAATCAGAATCAGATTCAGAATCAGAGCCAAGCGATGTCGCCCTTGGCCCCCCGGGGGTTGGGGGCTGGGGGTGGGGGTGTGGAGTTAAGCCCGGGGGTTGGGGATGGGGGTGTTTTACGGCACGTTAGACCTCGTTGAGGGGGCAGCGTCCGCGTGCGCGCACACCGTCTCTTCCCGCCCGCCGGTGGCAGCAACGACCTGGCAGGAACGAAACTGCTCGACGATGTCGAGGGTTGGAATGTGGCCCCCCGACTGGCTGGCTGGCTGGCTAGGGTAACGGAGGGCAGGGGAGGCTTGCACTTCGATCCGGAGCTCGTGATGTCAGCAGCAGCATAGCATGGCACGGCCTGTCCGGAGTGGACTGGCTCGTTTCTCCGCAGCAGGCTCGACTCGAATTCGGATTTGTTTCGGGAGCAAGAGTGGCAGAGGTGCTCGGATCCAGCCGTGATCGATCGATGACCGATTTCGAGTGTGTCTTCCGCTGCTCTGTCGGCGTTGGTTTTGATCCCACTCACAGAGCACGAAGGTGATCGAAACTACATCGTGGCCAATTCGGACACATCTCTTTGTGTTGAATTTGCATCTGACCTTGGCGGTGGTGGTGGTGGAGAAACTCCGGCCGCAGAGTGTCGATCACTCGATCGGCCGGTGACGAATTGACTTGAGGTGTCGTCTCGTGGTGCATCTGGGAATTAGACAGTGCAGCGCTGGGTCAGCCTGGGAGAGAGAGTTCGCAGTGCAGGCCATGGAGGCTGATTCCGAATCTGACCTAGTGAATCAATCAAGCGCGTTACTGTGTCCCTCTCTTCGGTGCGACACCGCCGGGCACTGTTTCATCATCCGACAGAACAGTAGTCCCCTGGGAATTTCGGATCGATTGATCGATCCGATACGATCAATTCCACAACCGTCCGGGCTGATGATTTCACGGCCGGAATGAAGGAACTCTGTAAAGTGTTGGTTGAAGACTGGCTGCAAGGGGCTCGCGCCGAGTCTCGACAAACCATCAGAGGTTGGGATACTCGAGCCACTGTTGGCTGCTGCACGTCACCAGCGCTGTCGATGTATCACAGAGCGCGAGCGAGCGCATCCTTCAGACTGTCCGGGTGCTCCTGAAAGACGACGTGCCACCATGAGCACTGGCCTCGGCCTTGTTGACATTCGACCGACATTCGATCGATCCGTGCAAAATCTCTGCCCGTATTACGAAGCGATCATCACTCGCTGTCGATAGCACCGCCCCGGACTGTATGTTGTGTCTTCGTGACTGGACCAACGATTGCGTGCATTCGACTCCGCACTCCTCCCTCCTTCCCTCCCTCCTCTTTCAGGTAGCAACCACATGAACACCACTTCCCAACTCGACTGTTCCCGGCAACGCCGATGCTGACGCTCGATTAGATGGATCGACCATCAGTTCATCAATCGGTCAGTGAGGGAGCAAACAGACGGCAACAAACTGACTGAGTACCAACCAACCGATCATCTTTCGACCCCTTCGACACCAACTCGTTATTTTCAGTCTCTGTTCACATGGCGTCGGCGATTTTGCTGCACGATGATCCATGTTTCGCTCGTGGTCTCAGAGCTGCTGCACAGCAATACATCGATCATTTTATACAGGGAGGGAGGGAGGGAGCGAAGTAAGGTAGACACTTTATTGTGACAGGTTTTCCTTCATCCGTCGGCCAGTCAGTTAGAGCCTGGCCTGGCCGGGTCTCACTGACGGGGCAGTGCAAAGTGCCTACTCCGGGGCCTAGAATGCTACTGGCTCAGCACGGCTCGGCAAGGGCCTCAACTTTTGGCACCTCTTCAGAGTCAGACAAAGTGGCGAGCTGGTCGATTCATACCTGAATTGACCCGAGCAGTCGATCTGAACTGACTGAGCTGAACTGAGAAGTGTTTTTACCAGATCCGTACTTCAGATTCTAGTACACTGTAGAATTTCAAAAGATTTATACTGCCCTTTCACATTCGCTTGGTGCTGACCAATCGAGTTCAGGTTCGCATTTCGCATCATTCGCTGGTGGTTAGGAAAAGGTATGCTGCATCTCGCGGGAAACGCCTCGTCTCTTTCGTCTGCGTGACTGCAGTGTTCTCGAGTGTGGGTGTGTACTGGGGAATGGCTTAGGAGTGGGCTTCGCAAACCCAACTGGACGAGACCTCCCCCAGTGACTAGGCCCACCAGCCACCAGCCAAGAGATTCAGTGCATGCGAGGACGTGGTGTTGATCATCTTTCATTTGCTTCAGTAATAGTGCGATTTATCGTGCGTTAATTGCTTCGTTCTCGGCAGAGTACTAGACACACACAGCTCACAGCATTCATATATCTGCATGCGAGTGATCACCGAGAGGAGCGTAAGTGCTTGAAGGCTTGTCGACTTGTCGTCACTGTCCACTCACACAACCCTGCTCGGTGCGAGGGTGACAAGTAAAAAGCTTTGTCTAGTCACTTGATTCTTGCTTGATGGATTGCTTGATTCTTGCTTCCTTCAAAGAGGCCGAACAAGACGAGGACTAGTACCTGATGGGAATCAGTGGTGAAAAAGCAACGAAACAATGGAAGTCCATCCGTGCCAAACGTGGACTCAAGAAATGAATCTCGTGGTATACATAACGAACAGCGCTTTTCAGCGGGCGAGTGAACAGAAAGACCGACCATCCATCAGCAGCAGCAGAAGCAGCTTCTGCTTTTGCCGAAACTTAAGTGATTTCGTAATGCATCAATCGGTGATGGGCCACATTTCCGTGGCGACGATTTGATTAGACAGGCGGCATAACTGTCACTGGTCCTCTCTACAGGGATTACGATATCGACGGCAAATGTTCCTCGTCCACCTCACCTCTTTCGCTGATCGATACGTACAAAACATCCATCTCATGATCTTCAGTCCGGTTCCCTCTGACTGACAGTCTCTCCCAGCCGAGCCAGAGTAGGACGACCACCTGTATTCGATAGCAGACAGCTCATGCATCAACACTTCTTCCTTTCGCGTGCCCGTTCGTACCACCAGAGGACCTCCATCAACTTCTGCTCTGCATGGCCGGCGTAAGTTTCTCCCCTGAAGAGTATACCGTCACATGGCCCATTTTGTTCTGTCCGTCTTCAACTTGTCGAATGCAGGTAGTAGGGCTTTGTTGGTTGTGTTCAACTCACCTGGAGATCACATAGACCTTTCGCTTGCCCACAGTAGATTTGGAAAGTATAAATCAAGCCACCGTGAAGAGTGGTGTGGATGTGAGGAAGCTTCACTGAAGACAAGAAGGATCCGTGGTGATTGAGGACCTGTTGATCACACGGAGGTGAGGCGGCTGGCTGGTTGGCTGAGTGGCGGTGCCAGTGTCTGCATGTCGCGTCTGGTGATTAGACATGCCAACACAGCACTGGAGGAGAACTTGGCTTCGGCCTCTACCGGGACGAAATTGTCCTTCCGTGCAATGGCCGACACTGACTGCTCTCATCCCTGCCAGCAACATGTCCTTTCCAACAATGTTGGAGCTGTAAGTGGCTAACCGCTATTCTATCCTCGACCTCTAGGGGGGGAAAGGGGCGCCGCATTGCCATATCCGACATCGAATTGTCTCTACTCTCGCAGACAGTAAGAACAAACCAACACCTGAACGAGTTTTACTCCTGTTGTTGTTTTTGGCGACGTGAAAAGCTTTCCGTTTGCGCACCCGAAAGTGACTCCATGCCCCATTTGACAGCACAATTAAAGGCTCATCATTTGCACAATTGATTGTAACTCACATGAACTATTATTGCCCGTGACTACTCCATGCCTACCTAGGTAGGCATGCATCCAAACACCTGAGCAGACAACCCCAACGATAAAAGCTTTCGCATCACAACACAACTGTCGAACAGGGTTACTTACTATCTCCTACTCTGCCTCATAACAAATTCTCCCACTGCTCGGTCATAGAACACTCATTGAATCACCTTGCAATCGGTTGCGTACCTTCACCCCTCTCCTGATCGTCTACTGACTACGGTTATACCTCGTACAACTAGGTCGCATGCCCCCCACTGCTGCTATCGTGCAGTTCTAGTGATTTCTCCAATTAAACCCGCTAGTGGTCACGCATGTTCGAAACCACAGTTGATTGAGAACTGTCTACTAGATTTGATCTCCTGCCGATAGGATAATTGATGCCTATGATGTCTGATTTCTCCTAGAGCTCGAACCCATCGGTCTTGCCTACGATCTCCCGCTTGTCGTTTGCATCCATCTTGTCTAATCTAAGAGCTTCGGTGGGCACTAGGCGAGGTGGATGATTACATGGAGAGTGCATTCAGGCCCACTCACCTCATATCTCTTCCTCACAAAAAATCTAGTCTCTAATTCAAATCCTCAACTCATACCAGCCTGTATCACACCAACTTACGACGATCAGTTTGACGAAGATGAATGATGCAAAAGTGGGCAACAGTTACAGATGTAAATAATTTTCTGGACTAGAATTAAGATTCACTTCCGAGGAATGTCCCCAGAGAAAGTTGACAAAGTTGATTCTCGTCACATTACATTCGGTGCGTATACTACAGCATTTTCTCTAGATGCTACAAACTCTAACTTTCCCCTTCGGGTACGATTATCATTATCACTTTCCGAGAAAATTGCTTCCTCCCCACATCGATTTCGGGTCGCGGACGACTCTCATTGTCGCCGTCGCTAAGAATATGCAACCGGGGGTGTACGACGATGGCAAGTCGCTATCGAGCCAACTTCACTAGAACCGGTGCTGCGGCCACGCGGGCGGGCGTGCGCACGGAGCCCCGGCGCCATCCTCCAACATAGTAATAAGGTACATAACGGCGGTAAGCCTACGCGGGGGCTTCCGCTGGGAGCCCCGCAGTCTCGAACCTACCCCCCTTCCAACAGACACTGTACAGACGAATTTTCACCTCGGTGGCCGGGCCAGGTCGGGCCGGGCCGAGCCGAGCAGAGTGGTCTTCATGTCATACAACAAAATTTTCTACCAGTGCCATGCAATGTAATGACGACTAATTCACAGGTTTCGTTCGCCTCCGCAGAGGCGAGTCCGTCACCCAGCCTACACGGGAACGGGGTCCTTGAGCACTTTGGGGGCTTGCTGCACCTGCTCTACCTTGGAATCATTGTCTTGTTCCTTGTTCAAACTCTGATAGTACTCGACCAGCACCTGCCAGCCTCCGGGGCACATGAATCCGTCCGGAAGACTTTCTCCGCTCTTGGCAAAATTTCTCATCTGGACACCACCACAAGCCATATGCACGCAAGAGCAGGAGGGGTTAGCGAAGCCCGGATGACGTTCCCTGGGACCGCGACCGACAACTTGCAAAAATATCCGGAAAACAAAAGCGCACGACGAGACAGACAGACAGTGGCCACTTGCTGCAGGATCGTAACTCGGCCACAACCAAAAGCCAAATCCCGTGCGCGCTATGCAAGCCATCAGTCAGTCATCCTCCCTAAGTCAGTCCCACCGCGTACCTTCGTGCCGGAGATGAATAAAAAGTCCTCTGATCTCTTTGGGTCGAAGAAGGCCATTTGCCCTTTCGTCTTGTCGTAGGCAGCAACCTGACACGCACAACATGCCGAGCAGGGATTCCATCAGCGAGAGTCCAGCAGGCAACCAGCCAGCCAGCCAGCCAGCCAGCCAGCCAGAGCAGGTGATGATACAGAGTCGCATCAGCCGCCAGCGGCGAATGCGGCGCGTGAGGCTCAAGGGATCGAGCGAGCGAGTGAGTGAGCGAGCGAAAGACTCAAGTGAGTGCGTGCACGGGGGCTGACTGACTGACTGACCTTGAACGGCAGGATGTTGAGCCTCTCGAGACCGGGGGCCATGCTCAGAACCATCTTCCCGTGGTCGGGGTTGTAGAGGTCGCGGTTCTCCGTGGGGTGGCCCATTCCAGCGGGGTCCCGGCCCACGATGTAGAAATCAGCTCCCGCGTTGATGCGAGCCTTGGCGTGCCATTGCACCTCGGTCGGCCCCGCGTAGTGCATTGGCGAGGGGAAGATGGCGATCACGGTCGTCTCCGGGTCCAAAACCCCCTCCTCTAGCACCTGCACCCACGCCCAGGGGCCACGTTAGCACCCGAGCCACAGCTAGCCACCCAGCCAGCGCACGAAGGGCGAGAGTGAGCTGGAACGGAAGAGGAGGGGGAGGGGGAGGGGGTAAGCTCAATTCACCTTATCGTGCTGCTTCATGCGCCACTCCAGGGGGACGTCGTCGGCCTTGGTGTAGCCCCCGAGCGGGTGGAGAAGCAGAATGGGGTTCTTGAAGCCCATCTCCAGCAGGCGCCGGCGCGTGTCGGTCATGAGCAGCGCGTGCCCGTTGTGCACGGGGTTGCGCAGCTGGAAGGCGAACACGGCGTCGGCGTTGCGCCGCTCGAACTCGGCGCGCAATTCCGCCGGCGACAGGCGGTAGTGGTCGAGCCCGTCGTTGTACTTGACGCGCTCCAGCACCTCCAGGTCGCCCCCCAGCAGCCAATTGCCGGAATTCCTAATATACTCTTCCACGTACGGTAGCCCCGGCGCCGTCGTGCCCCACGTCCTCGCAATTCGCTCCTCCTTGTTGTGCTTGTAAATTTCAAAACTGCCCCCACATTCCAACCGAATTCAATCCTGTCAGTGCCCTACCCCCCGACAACCCTAACGACGAACAAACGAACGAAACGAAACGAGACGAAAAAGAGGAACTGGCCCAACCCCAACCCCAACCACAGCCCCAAGCCCCAACCCCCGACGTCGTCGAGCAGGAGCGGCGTGTGCTGCTCGAAGACGAAGCTCGGCACTCGAATTGAGCCAGCATGCCACGGCCAGCGACCACCCCGCTCGCCATCGACAGAACAGACGGCATGTCTAATTGCAATTCGCCTCACGACGACGAAACCCACAAGACGACAACGAGAGGATTCATGAGCATAAACCTCGGCCGGCACGCTCGAGAGTGGGGAAGCAAGAGACAGAGCAGAGCCGACGAGGCAATGATGAGATGAGAGGGAGGGAGGGAGCTCACTTGCGGAGGATGGCCACGGGCTCGCCATCGGGTCCTACGAGAGTGACGGCCTCGGCGTCCTTGCCGATGCTCTCCTTTTGCACGTCGTCGATGGCGAGCACGATAGGGATGGACATGTTAACGAGCGTGCCATCCATGGAGCGAATGGAGTTGAAGTGCAGGGCCTGGAGGTACTCGCTCTCGCGCATGAAGCCCCGCAGCGGACTGGCCCACCCTTCGGACAGAACATGAACCCACTCCATGTCGATCTTGGTGATGTTGACATGCGGGAGCGTGGGCGCTTCGGCTAATCGCTTCTCCTTGAGCGCGTCGGCGACAATGAGATCGACGAGCACGCCCCCGTCGGGCGTGATCAGCCCGGCCCTGATGGGGCCGACGGATTTCCTCGATTGCTGCCCCATTTGCTGCTGCAGACTGTGCGCCTGCCCCATTGCCTGCTGCAGGCTGTTGCTCCTCTCGCGAAGATTGCCCGAGGTCAGAGCCCCGCGCAGTGAGACGAACGCTGCGGCCGTCGGCGACGAAGACGAGAATTTCGGACTGCATGGTGCGAGCGCCGTTGCATTATTATTGCTAACGGACAAAACTCGAAGTACACCTGCCACGGTCGCCATGGTGGAAGGGCCCGAGTCTCAATCCGAACCACCTCCTCCGCCCGGCTGCACCTTCCTCCTCCTCTTCCTTCCCTCGAGAGGCGTACGATTTTCTCACACCAAACTTTGTCAACCCTCTCTCTCTCTCTCTCTCTCTAACTCACAAAAGCACACACAAACACGCACGAAGGAACGAACGCAAACACGAGCGACCGAATGAGCGGAAGCGGAGTGAGCGAAGCCCTCGCGAGGACCTTCGGCAGCACGAGCAAAAGACCGACCGACCGACCGCAGGCCGAAGCGAATCAGGCAGAGTCCGAGCGAAGAGGGCTGCAGGCGGGCGAGCCCCTGACTTCTTATCCTGGCCTGGCCGGGGCGGGGCGTTGGCGAGTGTGGCTGGTAGGTGTCTCTAGCCGCGCTCTGCCGCTCGCTTATGTATCAAGAGTGCCCCCCACGACCTGCGATTCTGCGCGGCGCACCTCCGCGGTGTTAGCAGTGCTTAGCGAGGCTGGATGGATGGATGGTTGGACTCACTCACTTGCCGCCACCTTTGCTCTCTTCTCTCTCTCTCTCTCTCTCTCCCTCTCTCTCTCTCCCACTCTCTCGCCCACTCTCTCCCCCTCGGAGTCTCAGAATGGCCTCCGCCGCTCGTTTTCTCTCGTGTCAGTGCTAATCCAGCGAACTCGCCGCACAGAATCGCGCTGTGCCAATCTGGCGCTTCTCCTCCTCGCCGTCCCCCTTCGCCCTTCCTTCTCTACAGGCGCAGGCCCGGAATCCGTGAAATACTGGCTCTCTCTCCGTCCCTCTCTCCCCGGCTTACCGCTCTCTTACCCCGTTCCCCCCAGGCCTCTAAAAAAAGCACAATCCTCTTGCGCGCTCCCTCCCTCCCTCCCTCCCTCACTCGTCCTGTCAGAGAGACAGCGGAACGAATGTATCCGGGCGTGGAATGGAATGCTCTGCACAAAGAGAGCGCGACGTAGGAGACGAGATTTGAGTCAGACGGGATCTGACCGCTTCTGGTGCTGCCGCGCTGCCACCGCAGGATCACTCGATCGCTTCCTTCCTTCCTTCCTTCTCCTTCCTTCTCCTTCCCCCGGAACAGCCTCCCTCTCTCCCTCTCTCTCTCTTGCTCGACGAGCTCGACTCAGACGACCCAATTCTTACTCGCGGCGCAGAGAGTGTACTGTATTCTCAGGCCCAGAGGAGCAGGCAGATCATGCGAGAATGAGTGTGCGGACTGCGAGCTCTCGCCGCTTCAAATACTCCTGAAAAATTGGAACCGCTGCGGAAATTCGAGGAATCGCAGGCCCCGAAGGCGAGCAGAGGAGAGGAAAGCGAGGCAGCGGTGGACGGAAGGAAGGAAGGAAGGCGGGCGGGATCCCGGCGGTCAGCGGCCCCGCTCGCCTGCGATCCCCCGAGACGCTTTTCAGCGGGTGATGAAAATGACAGATTCCGATCTCATCCGCAGGCGACCAGCGGGGGCTGCAGACGGTCGCCAACGCGACTCCCAGAGCTGCGCGAGGCGACGGGAGAGAGCAGCGGAAGCCGAGCGCGAGGGGTAAGGTAAGCAAGCAAAGGCAGGAAGCAGCAGCGGCGCGCGGGGTTCCTCTGCTTTCCCCCTCCTTGCCCTTGCCCTTCCCCTTCCCTTACCCCTCCCCCTGCCCCTCTCTCTCGCTCCCTCCCTCCGTCTTGTCGGTCGGCTCTCTCGCTCGCGCGCGTGCGCACATCCTCGACGAGGCCAGTTGCCATCGCGGGTCACGCGAGTTACCCGCGTTTTCGCCCGGGCTGGCGGGGGGATGAACCTGGACATTTAGTCCCCGACTCCTTCCTGGGCACGACACGTGTCAGAATATCCGGCCTGATCTCGATTCTTTCATGACCTTTCTTCTTGCGGCCTGGGCCTACCGCGTCTCTCCCCCAATTACCATTTACCATTTACCCCCTTTCCCCTTACCCCAGCCCCTGCCCCTCCCCCCTCCCCTTTCGGACGGGTTTAGCTGCACAAACTTATACATAGCCCCTATATAGGGCCTTCATAGACCCAGGCAGGTGTCATCTTGCAGTGACCCGTGACGGAAGCTCTTCTTTTCGCTGCGACTCTCCTCTTTTGGACCAAAGATGGAAGAATGTGCGGGCAGGCTAACCGGGCAGGTTTTTCATTGGCACTCAATTTTCCGGTGGAGCATCAAAGTGACTGAACTAGATCGCTCCGCTTTCCGGCGGACGGATCTAACGATGGACTATAAGAACACTTTGCGGGGAGGGTCGGCGGACCATACATTCCGGCAACCATGTAGATGCCCTCAACCGGATAAAATTCCAACAACCATGTAGAAGAGAGGCCGTCACTGTAGAGGCTGCAACGTTGTATCTATTGCGTTGCAATGATCTACGCCGTAACAATGATCGCGGTCGTGTCTTGGAACGTTGCGGGAACTAAAAACTAAAACTGAACCGCAAGAGGGATAGCTCATATGGAATCCCTAGTGCTCAAACTGTAATATTTGTAATCAAACGGTGATAACATATTGTTTAGTACGGCCGTTTGTAAAAGTTTGTGCAACTAAGCGAGTCGTGTGAAGAATACACAGTAAATAGTTCTATCTTGAACACTTTTCTACCTGTATCTGGACACTAAAGGTTCAGAACAATTTGATTTGGAACTCTTCGTTGTGCACTGAAACTTACAGTGTGAGACCTCTGATAGGCACGTCCAATCTCGAAGTAGATTCAATTAAAGTTTTGTGTGAATATAAGATAGTTGTCTTTGTCACCTATGCCGACGTCTAGTGCACCCATAAGCTCTCAGATGGCTGTGTGACTTGCATAATTGGTAACATAGTCACATATTAGAGCATATAATCGTTTTGCATATTTACAGCTTCAGTTTCGAGATAGTTTGAGTTTTTGCTGGATGTAGATAGCTCACGACCTGACTGATTATATTAGTCCATCTTGCCTAGAGATGAGCATTTTGCAATGAGAAAAGTCAGATAACATAAGCAATTATATGACATTTTGTGAGATGAATTATGAATCAATGTGACTGAAGGTCCAAACCAATGACGGCTTCAATAACTGGCAACTTCTATCGGATGAGACAAGAATTGTCTTTGGAACTCGCCACCCTTTTGGCTATTACATAGCTCTGTCGAATCAGTTCTCACTACTCTCCATACTTACTGTCCAAGGTCCAACTTAATTCACTTAAGCATGCAGTAAGTTCACAGAACACACCTATGACAAGAAATCTTACAGCAGATGCTTCTGTTGACTTTATTTATGTCGTCAGATATACACAGGATTCTGTGATGTAGGGTTTAGTGTGATCCTACATTGAGTTCGAGAATAAATCTCCAAATTTTGACAAAAGTACTGTATACGTCATCCTGTTTTCGTCATGAGAGTTCTATAGGAATATAAACACACAGAAATAGGCAGGGAATATTGTTTGAACAAGAAATGACTTTTTATGGAGAAGTTAGTCCCGATTCCTTTTCTTTGTATCTCTTATCATTGAGCTAGATTTGTTGGGTATGTTTCTCTCTCTTTCATGTGACCCTATATTTTTTCTTCGACTTGTGTGCCACCATGTAGATTGACTATCTCCTAACTTACAGCTTCCATGAACCGAACTGGTACTAAAAACCACGCTGACATCTCACAATACAAAAAGATTCAAAATTAGCCTCCAAGGCTTCAAATTCATAATTCAAATAAGTCTGAAACTGTAGAAAAATCCGAGTGTACAGAAAAGTGAATGTGCAGTGTACGATGTAGCTCTGTTCCAATTTTGTTCCAATACTAAAACTCTAAAGCTGCGAACTGTCAACTGAAAGCACAGTCAAACTTCAAGAAAGTGATGAGTGCGTCCTAAAGCCACTGCATACATGATCTGCAAAACTTTCGCTACAGCTCATCATCCTCAGTCGACTAAACGTCCCACCTTCATCTTTTTAAGCTCAGCACGGCTCCTCTTCTCGCACTGTTTGTGAGACTCTCCATACTCTATCAGAACTAGAACTATCTTGGCATTCAGTATACAAATGGAAGTACACAGCGGATGCAAGTCACTAAACTCGAATAACATTTAGCGGGAGGGATGCATGTATCGAGCACAGGCCATGAGCTTCAGCTACATGTTCAGAGAAGGACTGGAGATACGTACTAAAAGTAAGTGACAAGATCCTGGAGCGCAGGGCATGGAACAAGCTGAAAGGACAAGATATGCAATACAAGACATACATAATTTTAGTCAAAAACTGAGGTAAAAGGAGCGCGTAACTAACAGAAACACACACAAAAACTAGGCCAAATAGACGGCAAAGGATGAACAAGCAATAAATGTTTTCATCAGACAATAATTTCCGACGCATTGCTGCTTTGTGGATTGCTTCGTGCATTGCTGCTTCGTGGAATATAAACAGCATAATTTGGAGGTGTGCTCTCTCATTTGCAATTGCAAGGGATGCATGAGGACTTGTCACCGCACTTGCATCCTTTGTTGGCACCCTCAAAGCTGTATCAGAAAAAGCAAAATTATAATCAGATACTGATCTACCGTCTCAGAATCCAAGAACGGTGATTTTATGAATACTTTAAGGATAACCATACGTTAAGGATCCAGTTCATACCGACATTAGCAGATTTCAAGTTCCAGAATGAAGCAACTACACTATCATGGTTACTGAAGCAAAAGCATAGCGATCTGAAACACCGATTCAAAATACATATAATTATCCGCTTCCTCTTCGAAAGTAGGACAAGTACACCAACTACAAGGAAAAAATGAGCTGAAAAAACCCCATACCACTTCTTTCGAGCCACATTGAAGCCTATCTAGGTAGAGTGGAAAAAAAAACAGGTCTAAAAATTGCCATTGAAGACTTTTGTAAGTGAAACTAACCAGTATCGAAGTCCACGTACGACTTTCAACTCATCGCCATATGTTAGCACGTCGTGTACTCTCACCATGTGGCTTTCTCTTGACGCCTACATCCATGTTACCATCTGAAGAACGAGTTCTCCTATCTGTAATAACAGCAACCCAATCGCAGATATTATCATTTTGATACTACATATAGAAGTTCAAAGAAAATGCTTGGGAACGATCTTACTTGCACATTTCCCGCCGCGATCACGTTCTGGTCCTTTGCTAAGATCCTTAACAAGAGACATCGCTGTTGCAAACAATTCAACTTTATTCCACCACTTGTTGGCAGCAACAGCCCATTTTACCGACCCTTTGTTTTCAAGTGTGCTGACACGGATCTTATATGAGGCGTCTGTCGTATTAAGTTCGTCTGCCGTATACTTCGCTCCCCACTCCAAGAGAAGATTTCGTTTTTTTGCATCCATCCTCTTGACTTCAACCTTCGCTCCCCACTTTTCAACTTCATGTGATATATGTACAGACATAAAAAATGGCTGTATGGGCTATACGGAACCATACATCTCTGATTCATCAAGAGCTGACTTTGAAATCTCACCCTGAAAAAAATAACAAGCACAATACTCTTAGATCATATCCAAATGGCAATATCTGTAATTGTAACATAAACATTACAAATTGAAAAATCTTTACGTCACGAGTAAGAATGTCTAACCTTTGTCTGAGCTGTCTCTTCATCTTTGATGACACCCAGATCTGCCATGCGCTTCATTCGACCTCTCAGAACGGTTTTCCAAGATCAAGTTTAGCTTTCCTGCCCGTTGGACTATAGAGATAATTCTGAAATTTCAAGATTATTTGTTCATTACTTACCACAGAATACTATCCATTCTTTGCCTCAGCTTTCAAATCGCTGCAACTGTCATTTGCACTCATGATTACCACGAGATCTTCCATGGCTTCAACTTCGTCAATGTCAATCTCCGACTTCTTCATACCTCACCGTTGACTGCTCCTTCTGTTTTTGGCATGCTCTCCCTTCACCCACTCTTGAATAGAATCTACGAACTGTGTCTTTCTCTTACAAGGATCAAGTAGTTCGTCAAGATGATCAAAGACAAAATTTGTAAACTCTGGAATTCTCAACATTTACCAGGCTGGAAGGAAATTCTTGCATACGAGTCTCATAGGCCCTCAAAATCACCGGAGGTTCCTCCAATTCTCCTATATCCTCTCCCGTCATTAGAGAATATATCTTTTGGTCGAAATACCCCTTAATAATCTCGACACACAACTCAAACTGTCATTTCTGCAACATATATACGGTTATTGCAATATGAACATAATAAATCAAAAATTTTGTGAAAGTCTACATGAATTCAATTTAAAATAAACAATGCAAATAGACAAAAAAAACTTGCCACGGAAGAATTGCATACCTTGGCTCGAAAGAAGTCGAACTTATCTTGCTTGTGCTTGATCCAACGCTAACAAAAATTACCAAAATGCTTGTCACAAGAGTCAATCAACTTTTTCTTGTCAGCCTTCCTAGAAACTCCAGTCGTCTTTCCTTTAAGAAGCTCATCGCCTCGCTTTGAGACTTTCTCATTGCTGAATAAACCAAGACAACACAAAGATATCTT